CTTAATATTCCAAGTTTGTCCATAATGGGACAATTTACTGCATAACTACACTGGATTTATTATGGGACAGTATACAATGTGCTACACTAAGACAAATTGAGACATAATGCCGCATTATGGCAGGGAAATTCCAGCATTTTATATTAAATGGCTGTAAAATTTGTATATTTGTTATAAAAACTCCAGATGACTCTTTATTTTGAGGATTAGAAAGTTGCTTACCATGAAAAAGATGCAGTGTTTGCAACATGGGTGGGATTAGCAAAGATCGACGGATAGTTTGTTTTTGGATGAAAATATATCCTTTTATATAGTTTAGAACTTCCTTCAATGCGTTTCAGTAAAAACCAACCAAAGGATGTTCATTATTATATCAGCTCTCACCAAGAAAACCATTCTCATGAACTGGAAATCAAGTTCAAATATCAGGCTGGAAATGTGGAAAAATCTATTTTTTTTGGCTGTACCTACATTTACTTCATGTCACACAAAGGATTGTGGGATACCTTGTTGCTCCTTAGCGTCAGACAGGAACATACATTCGTTTCCATCTAGGCTAAAGACTCCTTACCATATGACTACCTCGGACGGAGCCTAAAACTCAAAACACGTGGCAAAATATTGAACTTTTCTGAATTAATTAACCAACATTTTTAATCTTTCAAACGTTTTTAATCATGTGGAAAATATCCTAAAATATCTTTAACTTGAATTCTTTGATTTTATTCTGCGCCTTTGGGCTAAGATGGCTGTCAAAAACGTAGGCATAAAGGGACTGAAAGGCTGCGTCTCAATTCGCAGGCTGCGTACTTCCGAGGACGCAGCCTACCTAGCCTCCGGAGGACCCAGACTTGGTAGGCTGCTCCGGAGGATGCTCAGCCGTTGGTAAATGGGACGGTCTAGCCTTTGGAGCACTTCCTGGTTGCGACACGACGTCATCACGTTTACCCCAAACACAGCGCGAAACAAAATCCGACAGCTCGAGAAATACGGAAAGAAACGACAAAAAAATAGATATGGACATTTTTATTTTTTTTATTTACTTGTTATTGGAGGAGGAGAGTCGCTTTGACGGCTTCGGCGGCAGCAAAACCTGCGGCGGATTTTTCTCAGGCTGGCAGAGCGCAGTGGAGAGGTAAGATCTACCTGCTATTATTCTAACCCCACAGGGGCCTGCTAATGATCAGAATATACCAGTTATTAAATAAACGCTTGTCAGCAGATTGATGAATATGTTTAAATATCAAAGTTTTATATTTATTTGTAAGTTTGTGATTTATTTGTTTAGTAATTTGAATTGAATAGTTAAATGTGTACAAACCCTGTAAATAACTGACTTAAATCACTACTTTCACCATCACTAATGTTGTGTTGAGAAGCCAAACTGTTGAGAAATAAATAATTTTTGTCTAAATTATTATCCCCTTACTGCCTGATTTTATTTGCAATTTTATATATATATATATAAACATAATACAGGAAAAAAAAATCTAAATATAAAAACGAAAAAAATAAGTTAGTGGATCTAGATGAAGTAAAATGGAATTTCTAATAAATCATGTAATAAAGACAAGGAAAAAAAGATAGATGACTGAATAAAAATAAATATTTTTGTCTTTTTTTTTTCTACAGGTCATAACAGCCCCAGAGGATGAAGAGCAGGACTACATGCCAGAGGATGAGGAGGGGAGAAGGTGTAGGAGGCAGTCAGTGGTGCTCACTGGAGGGACCAGCTGTCTGCTGAGGTGTCTGCCTTGGAGGAGCGTCTACCTGACCACCGTTACATTTAGATGGCAAGTAGAATCACATTTTAGCTGTTCTCATTTCAGGGTTATAAACAGTTTTAGTAAAGTCATTATTTTCTGCGTCTTCTTGAACATTTTTAGTAACATGGCAGCCATCGATTGGGTCAGCAGTGGAGAGAGGCATCCCCCCCACCCCCCAGATGATGTCCCACTCGCAGTCAGAAGACTCCAAGGACATCTGTGTGGCATCGCATCCAGTCCAGCAGCACCACCAGGGACTCCTGCTCAGTCACAATTATATATATATATATATGTTCTCTAATAATATTTACTGTATATCTTCTGTAAATAGTTGTAGTAGTTAATTTTAAAATCTAATGTCAATAGTTAAAAATGTTTAATAGTTTATTGTAAATACTTGCTTCTCTAAAAATAAACTGATGTCACTGAGAAGTTGTTCTAAGTTTACTTAAATTACAAAGTGATGAAACAGATAATGTAAAAAGGTTAAAAGACTTTAAGAACACACCGACAGCAATAACTTTTATAAACAATTTAATAATTCAATTTAACCATAACAGCAACACAGAACTTCAACTTGTTAAAAAAAACACCAAAAAAAATAATAACCTCTGTCCACCATCCTCTCCAATAAATGAAATAATCTGTCCATCCTTTCCCGCCTCCCTCTGCCATCTGATATCCTCCCTGATTAAATCCACCATTACTTCTTCTCTTCCTCCTTTCCCTCCTCCCTCATCCCCATTCTCTTCCTCATCGTCACCCTGATGCTGCTCAGCCTCTGCAGCACCTGGCCCTGGTGTTTCCTCAGGGATGGAGGCAATTAGGACAGGTGGGGTAATAGAGGGCCTCTGTCCTAATACCTCAACCATGAGGACAAACCAGGGCCAGGTGGCAGCAGTAGGATTCCCACTGACCCCCTGCCCTGTCCAATGATCTTTGCATTCCTAAAGTAGAGGAAAACTATTTTTATCAACAGATGCTATTTTCTATAGTGTTTCTTTAAAGCTAGAAAAAAGGAATGTTTCATGATTTGGACGGATTGATGAAATTCTACAGAAAAAGACTTTGGAATGGTAACCTGGAGATTACTTTTTCAAGCTTACTCAAAGTGTAAATTAACATGAATATAATAAATGAAAGATGTAATTTCCCTACAAACACATACATATATAGGTGTGTGTGTGTGTTTCATTACATTATCCAAACCTGAACATACTTTGTATTTTTTTTTTTTTAAGTTGTCCCACACAAGGATCACTTCTATCACAAATATGAGATTTACAAAAAGTGGCATCTGAGCATCATTTGATGTGATCAAAAGATTATATTTGTATGTTGGTGTTTGAACAGGACTTCTTTTAACTTGTGTGACTTTTACATAGAAATGCAACATGTAGATGGAATTCTGCCTCAACTCTTCCCTCCATCCGCCTGCAGCAGTATTTTTGGCCCCGATGATAAGGTGGTCATTTTATCCACTCCTCTGTCTGCTCCCTGGAACAAAATGACATGTAAAGCATATTTCTGTTAAGTCAACAGGCAAAATAACTGTTCTGTATAATTATGCCTGTATTGTTCTTCAAGCGAATTATACTTTAAACCTTATTATACTGTACTGTAAATAAACTATACGTTATTGAGTATTAAAACAAAACGTTTGCAGTATTAACAGCCCAGTACAGCTGGACTAATGTTATTTCTTCAGCTGCATTAAGCTTTAACAGCTCTAATCCTTTGTAATAAACTGTTTGAGAATAAACAGATCTGATTAGAGAGGGATACGGCTATATGTACAGTAAGATGTAGGTTAAAATAAAAAATAGTGACATTTGTATGAAGGCTTTTAATTGTTGATGAACATCACGTATCAACAGGTTAGCTCTTAGCTTTAGCTTTAGCTGCTCCTACATATTCCGGTGGCTCCGTTACCGTCATGTATTTTAATAGATGTTCATTAAAAAAAAACACAATACTTACATATAAAGGTGTTCTCCGCACTACTGTCGGCGCTGCTGCTGCTTTCGGTTGTCCGTAACTTGAAGAAAATCCGACTTTCTTCTTCTTCTTCTTCTTCAACTACTAAAAAAAAAAAAAAGAAGCGCGCAAAGCACCTCGGGAAATCTAGTGGGAGGCGAGGCCACTAAGGACAGTAGCGATGCGTCCTCAGAATTCGGGGAAAAGGAGGACGCATTTTAAGGCTGCATTTTAAGCGTCCTCAGAATTTTTGCCAAATGGGACGGCCTCCGCGCAGCGTTGTGACGTCACCGGCCTCAAAATGCGTCCTACCAAGTACGCAGCCTGCGAATTGAGACGCAGCCAAATTCTACATACAACTCAGCAAAAGCAAATAAGTTCAACATTTGTATTTGTTCCTCGTCGTCAACTCATTCGTACATCTGACATGTTTACAAATACAAGTTGCAACTTTGGAACGACGGAAGTACAAAGTCACAAATATACGATGCTATTACACTCCCTACCAGATGGTGGCGGTAAAACATGACAGTTGTTCGCCAATAGCCTTAAAATGAGAAGACAAGAACAAAACAATCAACTGAACGTTAAACTGCGCTGAAAACATTTCAGCAAGAATAGAACATTCAGTGGATGCTTTTAATATTCTTCCTCTTCTGCTCGTTTAATCGCAGATTGTAAAAAAAAGTTTTACGTTACGTTGCTTGCATTTGTAAGTTTGTCATTTATACTTGTTGTAGAACATGTTTTCATGTATGCATGAGTGGACGACAAGCACAGATACAAATGTTATATTTATTTTGATTTATTGAGTTACATTTATAAATCCAAAAACCTACGCACACGTTTTTTTGACACTAATTTTACTCCATATAATTCCAACTATTAATATTCAAAGACCTTTTTTTCTGGAAAACCGAAGAAACAAAAGTAAACACAAAAATAGTTGAAGTTAGAAGTTTAACATTTTTATAAGAAATGAAAATGTCTTAAGCAAGTTTTCAATATCTGAAAATGAATCGGCATGTTGTAAAATAGAGCTGCATCCAAAGTAAAAAAGCAGAAGACTTATTTTAATCTGAACATCCTCAAGCATGCTACAGCAGATCTAAAACTGATTAAGTTGTTTATACCATGCTCAATTTAACTGTGACACAGTTTATAGGATTTTCTAGGGCTTCAGTCCAGCTTTGTGCTCTTATGGGATTTAAACATATACAGATCAAAGGTCTTATATTTTTCATGAACTGTTTCTCATCAAACACTCAGGCAACTTTTTTTTTTGTTTTGTTTTTTTATCTCGTGTGAAAAATAGTCAGTTTCGTCCCTCTCATGATTCTGCTGTGGGTCGTATCCAGCAGGCAGGGATCCACTGAGGTTCATCCTGCGCCTTCCTGACTGCTGTCAGCAGTTGGACACACGAGTCCTGCAGCTCATCGTTGACGATCACCTCATCGAAGAACTGCCAGTACTGGGCCTCGATCTTCCGGGCTGATTCCTCCATTTCCTGGAAGTCTTCATCCTGTTTAAAGTCAAATTTCTCATAGTTCAAGTCCATCCTGTGAGAACTCACTGACATTTTCTTTGTGTTCATGAACCAAACTTTTTTTTCCTTTAAGTTATCTCACATTATGGAGTGAATTTGTTGCAATATTTTACAAGCACAGAATATGTTTAGTATTTGGAAATTGGATTAAAAAAACTTTTCAATTAACTTTTTGTTAATTGAAATCTGTAAAAAATGAATCATCAAAAATTATTAATTTATATTCCTGTAGTGTTGGTGCTTGGTTTTGTTTTCTATACTTTGTTTTTTACTTTTTGTTTTTTCTATTTCCTTAATTGTATAATTACAAAACTACAGATTTTATATTTTTACTAAACATTTTAATTTTTTCTTCAACAAATGTCTGTTTTCCAGATTCAGTTTTTCAAGCTGCAATCCTTTTAAATTGCATTTCATAGATTAAATTTTGTTCACTTTTGGGGGCGGGCTCTCCTCTGGAGGGAGGAGTGAAGACACATTTCTATTGGTCTGAAAGGATGACCAATAAGAAAACGAACATTCCTATTGGTCAATGTGTAAAGAGAGACTTACGGTGAAGCCAATGTAATGTGTGAAATGCAATAAAAAGTTTGTAAAACTCCATCTGAAATCCAATATAAAAAGAAAATATGAAAATACAAAATCTGTACCAAAATGTATTAATAACATTTTAAAAACAGCTAAGTTACTCCTAAAATATTTTTACTTTTATTGAAACATTTTCCAAAGTTTCTTTTGCTGGATTGCATTTTCTATAAATTTCCATATACAAATCATGTTTTTTTGCAACAATAATGGAACAAAACTCCCTCCATATAATATCTGCTACCAACACTACCACTGTCTCCAATATGGCCGCTGCAGAGCATACTTTGAAAGGGCGGTTGACATAGTAGTTGGTGGTGATGTAGGAGTCCTGTCTTGTCTCTCTGAGGCACTCCAGAGATGGAGGCTTCACATAAATGATGTAGGCTCTCAGTTCATGTGTCCTCACTGCCTGAATTGCCTAAAAAAAAGGAGGCAAAGCAAGTTTTTTTTTCAGTCTACATCTTTGATTCTGCTTTTAAAACTGTTCCCAGGTAAAACTTCCTGGACTTACGTTAGCGTCTATGTCGATGACGCAGATCTTTCCGCTGTTTAAAACTTCTTTCACAGCATCAATGCTAGTTCCGTAGAGGTTACCTTTGTACAAGCCAAATTCCAGAAACCTGACAAAAACAGCAGCTTTGACATGTAAATAATGCAGACATTTAAAGAAACGGGGGGGAAAAAAGCTGTAGGAAATAGCAGCTCTACCGATTATTATAGACCATGTTGTCAAAAATCTCTCGACTGGTGAAGTAGTATTCTCTCCCGGATTCCTCATACCCTCTTGGACTTCTGGTGGTGTCTGAGGATAAACATGAGAGACTTGGAGTTCAGACAATAATAAATCCTAATGCGTTTTGTGATTAAACCTACGAGGTATTGCTCCCTGGAAGAGGTTTGGGTTCATCTCGATTAAGCGCCTCCGAAGTTCATTCACGCCCACACCAGACGGACCTAATGAACAAGAAAATCAATGATTATTTGTTGCTATCCTCTTTTTTAACTCTAATAAAAATAAAAATACCAAGGAGCGTAATGAGGCGTTGTGTGTCCTCTGGGTGGCGCTGGTAGCGAACCACCTCCTCATAAGGGTTATTCAGGGCACTGTAGCAGCTGGTTGGACAGCGGAGGTTGCAGGATGGCTGAGTGATGCTGTGGGAACGCCGCCGACAGAGACGAATGCTACGCCTGAAGCCCGCTGATGGTCACGAAAAGAATGTCAGAGGCTAAACTTTAAGGAATGATCAGGTTATAAAACTGAAGCCCCAGCTAGTATTTCCTATCCTGATAGCCTTAAAATATATACATTTTATCTTTGCAAGAAGCTGCGCGGACATAGAGATATAGAGTGATGTTTTATTCCATTATTGTTAGGAGCAAAGAATATTTTATGTGAACGGAAATTTGAAAAGAAAAAGTGGAACCCAGAAATAAAAAATGTTGTTCTTAGATTTTTTTTTTCATTTTTCTTTTATATCTTTTTTCCTAAATTTTTATTTCTAAAACATTTTATATACTCAAGCATCTCTTTTTTTGATTGAGTTTTACTTCACTTTAAGCCCAATACAGACGCTCGCTCTGTGAGGTTAAACTTACTACAGTTCTCTTATCATGCCAACTATAACTCTAGATTTTACAATATTTTCAGCCAAGAGGCTGATTTTTGACAGGAATTTTTTAATAAACACATTTAATAACTATCTTGCTTCTACTTTTATGTCTTTTGTTTCTTTTTTATTGAGCTTTATTTAAGTGTTTAAGGTTGGCAGCCCTCTTTGTCATCACCCTAATCTTCCCTCCATAAATTCTCTCTATCAGTTTAAAGTCAAGGCTGTTTTCTAAAGAAGGTTAAATCTGCTTTAAAAAGTTATTCAGTTTATGATGAGCTACTTTTTTATTCTTTTTGTTAAATTTCTTTTTTGGAAACTGATAAAAGTGGTATGAAAAGCAAGCATTAAATAGGGCTGAACGATTTTGCGAAAAATCTAAGTTGTGATTTTTTTTTTACCAATTCTGCGATAGTAATTTTATTGTGATTTCTCTTTCCATTAACCACACAAGCATGTAGATGTCTTACTCCAGGGATTCTGACCTTAAAGGCTTGCTTGTCCAGAGTCCATTGTTGTACAGCGGGAAAAAGTTCTTACTTCTCCTATCATGCATGGATCCAGGTGCTAGCTGCAACTCGCCTCTCTTTGGTTTGGCGGAAAACCCATTTTAAGCATATTTCTGCCACTGTCCTGCTCTAGTTAAATTCAATGTGACTTAAATTGAGTGTGTCTGCAATTTGAAAATTGCAGTAAATTGCAATTATATTGGAATTGCGGCCCTAGCATTAACACAGCTGAAAGTAAAGCTAAACCAAATAAATCATTAAATAAGAACTCAGATGAACAGGATTTCAGTAGGTTACCTATATAAAATCCTTCAACGTTGCTGCTGAAGTCATCATCCTCTGGTGGGAGAAAAAGAACAGAGATGCAAAGATTTAGCAAAACTGATTAAAAAATCAGAAGACACATTAAACATAACTAAAGATAAGATGGACCTACAGAGGTTAAAGCCTATTTAAATTCCTTTTCTAAGGTAAATAAATGGACAAATTTATCCTCTGCAAGAAATCTGGAAGACAGAAGAAAAGGAGCTTTCCTCACCTTCTCTGAGCTCCTCTGACATTTACCCATCACAACCGAGAAATGTTTGGAAAAGACAAACAAAAGTTTCCATGGGAGGCAGAAAACAGATCAACGAAGCAATTCTAGCATAAAAAAAAAAAACAAATCCCCCCCACCACCACCACCCCCAAAAAAGGAAAAACTTACCTACCGGATTCAAAAGCTTCCTCGTCTGTTTCAAACCCAGAACACACAGATAATTAAGCAAAGCAGCAAAAAATGATTTGGAAATTACATTTAGATCACACCTCACCTGCTTCAACACATTTCTCATCGATGGCCATCAAATCCTCCTCTGGGAGAAGAAAATAAAAAAATAAAAATTAAATCACAATTATTCAACCACATACGAACATAGACTTTACTGACCTTCATCTACAGTGCTCACTGCAGCAAGCATGGAGTAAAACACATGAAACCAATCTGTTAAATCGTACAGAGCATGAAATAGGTGACGTCAGCTAAAAGAAGAGCAGGAAACTCACAGATCTGCATGCAGGCGTGCGGTTGGTAAGGCTGGGACCACCAGAACTCCCTCTGCTTCCTATATCACAGAGACACGGCTCAGGTTAAACTCCATAATCTACATCTCATTTGTGCATCATTAAAAGATAAAAAGCAAAACAATATATATAATAATGACATTTTGAGGGAGCTTTCTATTTTAAAAGACTGCTCTGTAACCGAACCATAAAAAAAATAATCTACAGATCTCTTAAAGGACATCTAAGAAAGAAAATTTTTATGTTTTCTATTGAGCATCCAAAGTACAGACGTCGTCTGATTGGAGCTGCAGCGAAATCTAAGGAGAGCTGTGCAGAACAGAAATATCTGCAGACACAAGAGCTGAAGCACAAATTTAAGAAAGCGTCGGAAAAATTCCACCACAGGGATTAAAAAGGTGGATAAAGATGGACAGAAACCAACAATTGGGAATTATTTCTGCTAAAAAGATTCTACAAAGTGTTGGATCATAGAATGTACTTCAGATATTTTATAAGGGGATTTATGCTGGTGAAGATTCCCAGTTATCCAGGTCATAGTCACTCCAAAAAAAAAAAAAGTGAAATGTTTTGTTAGGCTACTGTATAAAACCTCAAACTCAACGCTATTCCTGACATTTGAATTGAAAAAGCTTCCTGGATGGGAAGTGAAATATCTTCAAACTTGGAAACAAAGTTCAGTGGATTGTTTTTTTTTTTGTTTGTTTGTTTGTTTTGGAAGGGGACTTAACTGACTGCAGGGAATTTTGCAAGGAAATTCAATATGTAGATTATACAAAAATTGAAACTATGGTATTGCTGCAAAAGGTCATTTTAAAAACAACTGTTTCAATCAAGTAAAGGCACAATAACATAAAAAAAATCATGAATAATTTCTAATACCGTTTAGTTGGTATTCATTTGTTGTATTCAATCAAACTGATGATAAAACCCTAAAGTTAAAGGCAAGACGTTGCATTTGGAGTTTGTTCAATGATTCTTAAGGCAAACGTCAAGAAGATTGTGCTTAATTATCTTTTTTGTATTAACCTTTAAAAATATTAATGAGCTACAAGCCATCAAAGGAAAAGTTGGTTCGCTCACACAGGATGAGAATAAGGCAAATTTTTAATGTGGCCAACAGACAATTTGCACGTGAAAAGGTGGCCCAAGTTCGCCAAGTCATAGAAGAATCGTCAATCAGCTCTGAAAGCTGGTGGCTGGAAGATGGTTGCTTCCAGCTGTACTTGTGTTTTTTCAAGAACTGTTGTCCCCTCACTCCTGTTCCTTTAATTTTCATGGAGTAAGAAAGAAATGCACATAGATGACACCCAAAAAATTGGGACAACAATCTTCTGGAAAAGAACAACTAAAAATGCAATTTCCTAAGATATAGTGAGCGGATGCAGATCTCCATTATAAAACCAAAAAACATATAAAGGTGTGTATATTTATGTGTGTCGCACAGAGGCGTAGCCAGAAAATCCTAATAGGGGCGGGCAGTCAATAAGCACCTTACATTGAGGGGCCGAAAGGCACCAGAACCTCAGGGTCACTCTACACTATTTCAATAGGAATGAGCACAACATCCATATTTTCTAAATAAAGACAAACTATACTTTCCTGAAGCCTTTGCTAACAAATAGACGCATATATTTAAACATCTATGCCATGTAAATAAAAGATACAGTGGACGAAATTCTTTCAGGTTTGGGTTTACCTACTTTTATCAATAATCATTCTGCAAAAAAAAAATATATTTAACTCCACTAATGTCCACATTTAATGAATTTTTAAGTTATTATTAAAGTAGTTATTTATCTATGATTTCACTGAAAACTCCTCGAGGACTTGCAGAGGCACATAATTATATCTTTACCCCAAATTTTTCAAAATTTAGTTCTGAAAAGAGCATTAATTCTGTATTTATCATCTTTAATGTTTTTATATTGATGTGCATAATTAACCAGTGTTTCTGTTGTCAAGTAGTTGTATATGAAAAATTAAAATGTTTAATAAGTTTGAACATTCCCCTTCAGAGTATTGTGCCACTGTCTGCATTAGAGGAAAAAAGTGGTTGGGGTGGCCACAGGGGGGGGGGCTAATGATTGGCTAAGGGTGGCCATGGCCACTCCTGGCCCCCCATCTAGCTCCGCCCCTGCAGAGTACACATCATGTCTTACGGTATTCCATTATAGGTCCTAAGCACCAGACAGGAATGTTTTGAATGCTTTGGTCCTAATGCTAAATGATGTGTTATAGGAAGCCTCCTGCTTCCTCTTCCTACCTCCTTCCTTACCATCTCCATTTGGACTTTACTTTTATGGCAACCGTTGACGCACTTCAACCCTGGTTTCAGAGTCTGTAACATTTTGCTGTAATTGGATCCCTAGTCCCCTTTGTTCTTCTTGACTCTTCATTACAACCACTTCCAGTTCCTGATTGGTTTTAGGGACTTGAATTGAGGGAAACGTTCAGATTTTAGAACCCAAGCTGGGGCTGGACGATAATTTAATATCATTGACTGACGTCTCCAATTTTATGTTTCATTTTTTTAAAGCAATTATTTCAAAAATATTACATTGGAGGAGTTAAAAAAAAATGAGAGAAAATAATTGTCTTAAGTTTAGACAGGCATCTGTTGTGGGAATTCGTTTCAGTTGTTCTGAGGCTTTTATTTTGTTATCCACCTCCAAATATTTTATCAACTGAAATCAAGAAATATATTGTAATGTAAGTTTTGGCCTTATTATTCAGCCTTAATTTGAACAAAAGTAACCATTTAGTCTACTCGCACACATCACCAGATTCCTATTAACCAAAACAAGTCCTTTGCTCCATTTATTTGCTCCTGATCTTGCCTCTTCGTACAGTAGTAACCATTCAAAATTTCTCCACTTTCCTTGATGGCCCCTAGGCCGGTCCCCTACAATTCATTTTTAAACTTCAATCTTTGTTCTAAAATATTCTGTCATGATTTGTGGACATTAAGATCTAAAGAGAAGCGTCATCTCCTGGTCAGACCCTATAATTCGGTGAAAGGGTAGAGACAAAAAATATGCAAGAGGGGGTCATTCCAGTGGCTGGAGGTTGGAGGGGATTTTGCTGGGAGTTGCAGGGAAGTGGGCTGCCATTCGGCCGGCGTTTCACTGAGAAGGGCCTTTTTAAATGGCTGCTAATGTAAGGCTAACATTCAAAATCACTAACTCCATTCGCCTTGTTCTTTGGTGCGAACACACAATGAGGATGATGAAACGTTTTATCCTAAGCAGAAATTCCCCTAAGCGGTCCTAGTCCCCTGTGGGCACCCTCTCTGGCATCTAAGGCCAACCCAGAACTAAGTTACATTAAGGAGTAAGATGCAGACCGTTTGAGAAGGCTAGCTGAAGGGATGAGTCCGGCACAGGCAGAACTGCTGGGCAGCTTCTTGGCTTGCCACCAAACTGTGTCAGTCTGATCCACGATCTCCAAGATGTCGCCTTTCTGGAAGCTCATCCCTGCGTCAGCGCAGGGGATGTTCGGGTCCTGCTGAGGACTGTAGTCGGTCATGGCGCGAACGTAGAGCTGACAAACAGATTTAGACTCTCAGCTAGTTTTATGCGTGTGAAATACAGACGACACAGAAAGGTGGTAGAAGACTTACCATGGTCTGGCTGTGGATTGGCCGCTCTGTGATGGGGATGACCTTAAACATGATGGTGCCTTGTGCCCGAGCTTGCTAATTGGATGTAATTGAACAAAAGAAAAAAACATTTTATAGCAAATATAAAGGAATTTCATGATTATGAAAATATACTACCAATCAACCCACCACAACTTGGATCACTTGCTCAGGGTTCAATCCATCCACCGGAAACCCATTCACCTCTACAATCCTGTCCCCAGCATGGAGAAGACCTGGGCATACAGGGAAGCTAATTAGATTTAGAATCACTTTTTTTGCTTTTTCACAAATTTCACCAGAAATGGATCAGGAATTTATCAGAATGGTTCCCGAATGGCTACTTTTGGAGGTTTAATGTCCATGTTGCCCTTCAAGGACACCCAAACTCATTGGAGAACATATACCCCTACATAGAAGTTTTGTTCACCAAGTTAAAAATCTTAGATTGGGATACCAAAGAATTCCCTCTAGTTGTACAACTGTATAGCCAGCTAAATACAAAAACGAGTAACATCCAGGTAGTAGGATACTCTGATTTTATAGGAGACGCCTTCAATGCCCCTGCTCGCCTGGGAACACCATAATGTTGACCAGAATGGGCTGGAAAGGTGTTCAGGAGATCACTGGCCATTAGGTACACCCGTCCAATTACTCCTTAGTTCAAATTTCAAATCAGCCATTGGGCCAATGGCTGATTTAGGGATGTAGACATGATCAAGACAATCTGCAGCAGAATGGGCAACAGAATGGGGAAGAAAGGTTATTTAAATGACTTTGGTCGTGGCATGTTTGTTGTTGCCAGATGGGCTGGTGGGAGTATTTCAGAAAATGCGGATCTACTAAGATTTTCATGCATAAAAATCTCTACGGTTTACAGAGAATGGTTCAAAAAAAGAGAGAGTATCTGATGAGCGGCAGTTTTTTGGGCACAAATTCCTTGTTGATGCCAGAGGTCAGAGGGGAACGGCTAGACTGGTTCGAGCTGTTAGGAAGTCAACAGTAACTCAAACAACTCCAATCAGTTGACACAACATTGTCAAACAGAAGAAAAAAAGTGTCTTACCGCTTCGATCGGCCAGGCCTCCATGAATAACACGGGCCACGAAAATCTCTCCCGTGATCTCGTTTCTCTTAATCGTCGCTCCCTGATAGAGAAAAACCGACACCATGTCAAGCTCAGAGGCTAAAGTGTCCAAACAATGGGAATGCTCTTGTACTGATGACCGCTAGAGACCATGCATGAAACAGAAGGAATGTATGATTTTGAAAAGACAAGAACCAAACTAGTGCTTGAAATGAGAGGGGTGTCTTTGACTGTTTTCGTTGAAGATTCAAATGATGGAATGGAATGTAGAAACAATCCCATAAAAAAGCTCACTGTTTGTAGCCCCTTCTTCGTCACTTAGGTTGGTTTCTTCCTCTTCTTTCTCTTCTTCCTCTTTTTTGAGTGGCATCCTTTTATATTGTTTGCTGTCTTGGTGAAGTCGAGCAGTTCGCCATTGGTGAGTGGACCTTTGGACATTACTGGAACCCTTGGGCTAGGTTTTTTTGTTCTTACAGTGGTAAGTGGAGAACCATGATGAGATGCAGAGTAAGGAGTTGGGTCCTTTGAGGTGGAGGGAGCATCCAGAGAACTGGCACTGGAGGTGGATGAACACAGCTTTGTGTCTTGAGTCTTTGTGGTAGTGACCTCAGTCCTGGTGGTGGTGAGGAGTGCTTGCAGCCGGTCCACCACCTGGGTGAGGAGAACCAGGGATTGTACCGTCTCTGTCATACGCTCCGTGGCGGCTACCATCCGCTCTCCCAGGACTGTGATATCTTTACTGCTGTTTTCCATCGAGCTGGCTGCCAGCTTAATGGTAGTCCTCAACTCATCCAGGCTCTCTTGCCTGGCCAGTTCTACAGGGGTCTCCTCCAGCACCCGGTGAGGTCGCATGGGGCTCGGTGGAGCCGTGCGGATGCAAGGGCTTTGGGCTCGAGGAAGACCTGGCTGAAGGTAGGGGCATTTTTGAAGGCAGCGTGGTACGCCAAGACAGGTAGAATACGGAGCGCTAGAGAACAGTCCGGTCTCACTTTCAGCAGGGTGGTCTCAATAGGAAATAGAGAAAAAAAATCAATCCATATGACAGTCTATCGATTTATAGATGATGGATGGAGACGGATGAGTTTTCAAGGCAAAAGAGATGATTTCTGGAAACGTCTTTTCTTACCAAACCCAATAGGGCTGTGGATAGATGGTGCCGACTGGTTCAACCGTTGCTCAAAGAGCCGATCAGCGTAACACATTCTGCAGTGAACCATCTTTTGGTGACAGCACTCTTGGTGTCGAGGCAGTAGGAACGTTCGGACTTCTGCTGGGGGGCGCTGCGGCTCTGCAGGATGGCTGCAGGTCCTCCGGACATCACAACATGAGAAGCGCCGCAGGTTTTCAGCGGCAGGACTTTGCACTCTAAATGTCTCACTGCTGTGAATGCTCCAGGCACTTCCCATCCCTGATCTACAACTCCTTGCACAGGCATGGGAGGCACCACTCAGCCCGCCAAGCTGTGACACAACAGAGTCACTGAAAATATCTCCATAATAATGTCTTTGCACAAAAAAATTTGAACATTCCAAGACAACAAAGAAACGGTTATTGTTGTGTTCTCTTAATATAGAAATAAAGTTTCATTCCACATGGTGTGGACGTCACATTTCTGATCTGAAATGCCAAATTAACTGTAGTGTTCCTCAAGATCCCTGTTGTTTCTATTTAATTCGTAGCACCATAAGCTATATTATGTGGATAAGAAATGGTGCTTGTATGCTCACGCAGATTTCTAATCTAGGAAAGAAATCAAGGACTTATTTCAATCAAACAACAAATTCAAATTGAAAGAAAATCTGCAATGAAAAGAAAAAGTAAAAAAACAATTTTTGAAATATTCTTCTGTCTTCTTTAAGGTAGATTTGTTGGGATTATTGTAGTATAATATACTCAATGATTTATTACTTTTATTTAAATCAACTAATGACTCATTGTCTCTCTGTTTTAACATCTATTATTAATAAGTATTAATTAATAACTAAGGAATAAGTATAACTTTTACAACTTTTGTAATATTGTTTTCTGCTTTTTTATGATTTATACAGTAGTTTCTTTTTTTTAATTCTTTATTATTTTCTAATGTGCTGTTTCATTTAGCCTTTAATGTCTACTAGACATATATAAAAATAAATGCGATAAACAAAAAATATTCAGCAAATCTAAATGAAAATGAAACTAAACATTAAAGGAAAAACACAACTAAATTGCTCTGCTTGTATGGAGGATCAGGAGTGTCAGTTAAAGTAAAACACAATTTCAAAGTTAACATTTAAATCATAGAATTCAAAATCCAGATAGAAAATAGTTTTGTAATGTTTTTAATTTTATTTATCAGTCCATAAATACTGCAATCAAAAGTGTATAGTCAAATCGAATAAAAAAAAAAAGAGATTGAAAAACCACAATTCATGAATCTCATTATAAATGTACTTTCTAATCAAACATATAAAAAGGTAATTCCCTTTTCAATTTCCTTTTATATGTGTATTTATAAATCCTTTTTGTTATTACTAATATTGTTATTATTAACCCATGCCTCTTATTAATAAACTGTAACTATACTGTTAACCTGTTGAGAAACTGTTTATAAGCTGTTGCTACACTGTTAATAGGATGAAGCTAAACTGTTAGTAAATTGAACTAAACTCTTATTAAGCTACAGCTTAACCATGAATACAGGTGCTGGTCATAAAATTAGAATATCATGAAGAAGTAGATTGATTTCAGTAATTCCATTTAAAAAGTGAAACTTGTATATTATATTCATACATTACATACAAACTCATATATTTCAGATGTTTATTTTGTTTAATTTTGATGATTACAAATGACAACAAATGAAAATCTCAAATTCATCATATCAGAAAATTAGAATATTACTGAAGACCAATAAAAACAAAGGATTTATAGAAATGTTGGCCAACTGAAAAGTATGAACATGAAAAGTATGAGCATGTACAGCACTCAGTATTTAGTTGGGCCTCCTTTGGCCTGTATTACTGCAGCAATGCGGCGTGGCATGGAGTCGATCAGTCTGTGGCACTGCTCAGGTGTTATGATAGCCCAGGTTGCTCTAATAGTGGCTTTTAGCTCTTCTGAATTGTTGGGTCTGGTGTATTGCATCTTCTTCTTCACAATACCCCATAGATTTTCTATGGGGTTAAGGTCAGGAGAGTTTGCTGGCCAATTAAGAACAGGGATACCATGGTCCTTCAACCAGGTACTGGTAGCTTTGGCACTGTGTGCAGGTGCCAAGTCCTGTTGGAAAATGAAATCTGCATCTCCAAAAAGTTGGTCAGCTGCAGGAAGCATGAAGTGCTCTAAAACTTCCTGGTATGTGGCTGCGTTGACCCTGGACCTCAGAAAACACAATGGACCAACACCAGCAGATGACATGGCACCCCAAACCATCACTGACTGTGGAAACTTTACACTGGACTTCAAGCAACGTGGATGAAGTGCCTCTCTTCTTTTCCTCCAGACTCTGGGACCTTGATTTCCAAAGGAAATGCAAAATTTACTTTCATCAGAGAACATGACTTTGGACCACTCACCAGCAGTCCAGTCCTGTTTCTCTTTAGACGCTTCTGACGCTGTCTGTGGTTCAAGAGTGGCTTGACACAAGGAATGCGACAGCAGAAACCCATGTCTTTCATACGTCTGTGTGTGGTGGTTCTTGAAGCACTCACTCCAGCTGCAGTCCACTCTTTGTGAATCTCCCCCACATTTTTGAAGGGGTTTTGTTTCACAATCCTCTCCAGGGTGCGGTTATCTCTCTTGCTTGTACACTTTTTTCGACCACATCTTTTCCTTCCCTTCGCCTCTCTATTAATGTGCTTGGATACTGAGCTCTGTGAACAGCCAGCCTCTTTAGCGATGACCTTTTGTGTCTTGCCCTCCTTGTGCAAGGTGTCGATGGTCGTCTTTTGAACAACTGTCAAGTCAGCAGTCTTCCCCATGATTGTGTAGCCTATAGAACTAGACTGAAAGACCATTTAAAGGCTTTTGCAGGTGGTTTGAGTTAATTAGCTGATTAGAGTGTGGCACCAGGGGCCATCAATTTTGAACCTTTTCACAATATTCTAATTTTCTGATATGATGAATTTGAGATTTTCATTTGTTGTCATTTGTAATCATCAAAATTAAACAAAATAAACATCTGAAATATATGAGTTTGTATGTAATGTATGAATATAATATACAAGTTTCACTTTTTAAATGGAATTACTGAAATCAATCTACTTTTTCATGATATTCTAATTTTATGACCAGCACCTGTATGCCATTGTTGGGTCTGGAAATTTTTTTTTTACTTTTTTAATGTTTGGCAATGACAGTCATTAAAAAATCAAGATGTATGAATTGTGGTTTTAAAGTATCCCTTTAGAAATGCCTTTTGAAAACACATTTTGAAATTGCAGTATTTAAAAATAGATTGATGAAAACAATTTGAAATTCCTCTTTAATAATTTAATTTAAAGTGTGCAATTATGAGACACTCTGTGTCTCTGTGGTAATCTAATAAATTTACTTCATGTAAAAAAAATAAAAAAAAATTGCCAAAATTAACATTTGATGTCTGTTTTAAATTCATTTTCAGGTAACTGAATTCAACTGATTGCTTAAAGAAAAAAGCTCTGAAACACATTTCCAAATCAGTATCAACCATTACTGCCATTTTTTCCAAGTTTTCACAAAAGTCACATTTTAAAACGTGACTGAGACGAAGGAGCTTCTCACCAACGGCTGTTTGTTCTTGACCAGGCAGACAATCCGGGTGGCCTCCTCCTCATCCGGCAGCTCGTCTGGCATCGGTGGCAGCACCGGCTCGTAGTCCTTCTGGGCCACGCTGTCGTGTGCCGAGAGCAGAGCCTAAAAATAAACATTTTAACTATGCAGAAATGTTTTCATTTAACAGCTTGTTCTTTTCACACAACACTCTTGCAACAAAACATTTGTATTTTTTTCCTACTTTTAGTAAGCCCGTTAAATACTGCTACAGAACATCTGTGAATAACATAAAATGACCATCTAAAACTTACAATGAACGAAATATGAAAGACACCTGATATCAGCATCAGATAACAACTTAAGCAACTTCAATATTTGTCAACTTGAGTATATTCAGTGCAAGTTCAGTGCTTTTAAACCTTGGCTACCAGATTTCAAGACCTTCTTTAGGGCAATGCAAGGTCCATAATTGTCACAACATGTTTTTTAGCAGCTATTAAAACACTTAATTCAGTTAAACTTTGCTAAATATGCCGCATTATCTTCTAAGCTCTTATAGGGGGAGTGGCGGCCTGGTGCTTAGGGCATAGAGATTGGAATCCTGAGGTTCTGAGTTCGAGCCCCACTCCCACAGACTGCTATTAATTATTTTAAGCTCGGAATCTATTTTCAAAGTGTGGTTCCAAAAACATGAGTTGATCCAAAAACATAACCCTGTCAGACAGGTGACTTACAAATAAAAAACAAACAAACTACTCAATAATTGTTGATATCAACCGATATGAAAGACTTATGCATGATAGATTTTTTTAAGCCATAATCACACAGACGCACTAGTTGATCCCCTAAAAATCCATGTAATTATTTCACTCATAATATAGAAAAAGACCTTTATATGTAATTTGAAATTATTTAATATTATCTAATTATGTACATCTGCTTCCTTCTCCTTGAACCCCAGTCGGCCTCGGCAGATGGCCGCTCACTCTGAGCCTGTTTCTGCAGGAGGTTTCTTCCTGTTAAAAGGGAGTTTTTCCTCTCCACTGTCGCTACAAGCATGCTTAGTGTGAGGGATTGCATTTGAGTCAATGAGTCGATGCAATCAACTGGTTTTCCTTAGATAGAAAACTTTGAATCAATTTGACTGTATGATCTGGTTGAACTGTCTCTGTAAAGTGCCTGGAGATGATATGTGTTGTGAATTGGGTCCATATAAATATACTGAAATGATTTTAATAATTTTATATTGTATATTCTTTAATAGCATATTCAATAATCTAATAAAGTATTAAGTAAACAAACGATACATTGAATTATTCAATGATTTCAGAGTACATTTACGATTTTTTTAACCAAAAAAATATGTTACAACTTGTCAATGTATAAACCAGCCAAACCCCTCAAATCTACTCTACATATTCAGAATCAAACAAGGAAAATCTGCTTTTTTATCTCCACTAATCTAGAAAAACAACAAACTGTCAGAAAATGCTAAAACGTTTAATTTAAATCTAAATTATAAACATATTTGTTTAGCATGGCCTGTCAGTACTACCTAAACATTGTTAGTTAGGTTTTTAGTCCAAATTATCTTTTATTTTTATCAATTATTTAATCCTCTTTTCATGCAATTATCCTCTTTTAAATACTTTTCTTTAATTATTAATGTTCACTGTAAAGTACCTTTTTTCCTCATTTACAGCTTTTTGAACAGTTTTGCTACAGAAACGTTATATATAAATAAACTTGCCCATTTATTTCTTTTAGATATATTTTTAATTTGGTCCCTTTTGCCCTGCATAATCGTCAAAGAGGTTAAATTATAAAAATTCTTAAAATCATCTTGTGCCTTTAATAAGGATATTTTAAAGATGCCACTTTTAGTGTTTTCTTTATCAAAATACCATAAAATAAACTCTATTAAACACTTAACAGAGCTGTTATTTTTAGTTATTAAAGTCATATTTTAGGTATTTTTTATAACTTTGATGTAAGATTTTTTCAAATTCCTACGTAATTAATGTTTTAAAAATAGACATCATCTTTACAGGACCAGTTAATATTTCCTACCAGCAGCGAGCGGCTGGTTTCTCACCTGCATGTGGGGCTGTTGGAGGAGACGGTACAGCTCCTTGGCCTCTTCAGAGCAGCATGGCTGGGACCTGATATCTATCAGCAACTACACACAAACCCATGGCAGGTTCAGTTTGTGAGGATTAAATTAAACACTACGGTATTATGACTGCATGATGAACCTGCAGTGAGAGTCCTGAAGCATAATCCAGAGTCGGAGCAGGGGAGTACGTAAGATACCTTTGAAGACATTCGTATACCTGGCAAAAGGAAATCGTTAGAAAAATGCCTTAATTAGGACAATTATAAAGGATCAATAGAGCAGGATATCTATAAAAAAAAATCAGTGTTGGCTGCAAGGTTTGGCTCTGTTTGATAAAAAGTAGTTTTTTGTAACCTTAAGCAGCGACTGGAGCCAGGATGCCGTCAGCAGACCGTGGAGGATGTCTGCTCCATCAATTTCCTGACTAATGGAGCATCTCACCTCCTCAATCACATCAGATAGGACCTGACGCAGGCCTGCAGAGTAGGAACCTTCGGATTAGACCGTAGACAACACACCTTAACTCTAATACAGGACTCCTCCTCACCTTGCTCTCCAAGCTCAAAGTGGGGGTTTATAACTTGAGCCTCTGCCGCCTGCCTCATGATCACTAGACCCCCAACCAGCTGTTAACTGCTCACCAGGATGGATGGTAAACCTAAGGATTAATGGATTAAAATCAGAAGCTTCTTTGATTCCTCGTTATCTGACTCTTTGTCTGAAAAATGTTGCATTCTTTTTTTACTGTAAAGTATTTCCTCAAAGCAAACAATCTCTAAATGAATCTGGCCTTATTTAGGGCAAAACATACCAGCTCAGACAATCTTCTGCAGAAGAAAAAGTCAAAATAAATAAATAAATGAATAAATAAGTAAGGATTTACATTTACTACATCATGGAAAGTAAACAATTACAATGAAGACGAGTAAGGTTTTCAATATTTCATTTAGTTTTGTCGTTAACGAGTCTTAATTTCTGAGATATAATTTTGAAGCCCAAACAAACTAAACATTCTGGCACATTTGTTATTCAGACATAATAATTGCAAGTGAATGTGATGATGTATTAAATTAATGACATTGTATGTCAGTGCATGCTAAAAGATGTAATATGCTTTTATAATTCATTGAAATAAATGGGAATAATGAAAAAAAAAAAATAAAAAAATAAAGAGTTGCCCGAGAACAGCGACTTGAGGAACGCCAAATAGGATTGCAGCATTAGACATATTAGTATTTTTATTAATCATTGTTTAGACGTGTCTTTAAAAACTCTTAACAGGATAGTCTAAGCCCGACTATGTGTGGGTAAAATAATGTTTTGACTCCCATCCCTTCTTTTTAAAGATATTTGGCCAAAGTGTTTAGCCAGATTAAAAACTTTATAATTAGAATTGAGAAATCTAGTGTAGAACTCTCACAGAAGATGTCAAAAATAGTGTTTCTAGTTTTAAATGTAGCACTTGGTATTTGTGAATCTGGTCATATCGACACACATAAGTTAATGTGTCATCAGACGTTGTTTGAGAGAAACTCTACGATGTCATCTAACGAGGGAATGTAGATACTAAATTAAAAGGAGCCCGAAACTGGATCCATGAGGAACTCCACATGTGACTGCAACTCAAAGTTGTTTGTAACAAATGTCAATTTAAGAGATCATTCAAGATTATTTTAAAAAGTAGTATCAGGCTTGGGGTTTCATGAAAAAAAAAAAATATATATTTGTTTAGTCTTTGGTGCTGGGTTGAATAAAGGCCTTTATTTAAACTGAGACTGTAAGAACAGACATGTTAGAGGCTCAATCATAAAAACTGAGTGAAGAAAAGTATTTGACTTTGACAATACAAAACAGAATCCCTTACATACAGCCAGGTTTATGTTGCTAGTAACTTTAAAGCAGTTAATGATGTTGAATAGAAGAATTCGCTGGATAAGTAATTTTAAGCAGTTTCTGCATACTGTTTGGAAATAGTATTTAAACATTTGTATCAAAGTTTAATAAAATGTGTTTGGGACAGCTAGAAAACCTGTGCGTCTAATAAAAAAAAACAACTAAAACATAAAAGTTTTCTAAATATTGGATGTAGAGTACTCAACGATATGTTAACAGTATTTTAGGGTTGAGTAATAACTCAATATAATTCTATACAACAGTGGTGGTTAAACACATTTTCAGTATTTCAATATACATTATGGTCTATGATTATATAATTTGTCCCTGACTGAAGTTCCAGGTATTATGTAGTTTTCTAACTTTTGGTTTTGAATTTCTAAAATGTTATATTGTTTTTTTTTTTTTTAATGGCATAACAGTTTTGTACAAGAATCTGTTGTGGGCATTTTATTTTGTTTACATTGATATTGAAGTTATAAAATATTGACTTTAATTAAGAAATATATGATAATGAAATATCTATGATATCACATATCATGATTTGTCCATATTGTCCAGCCCTATAATATTTATTGATGCAAACAATACATTGTAGTCTCTTTTGACACAGCACCCTCTAGTGGTGGCTCTAATATAGCAACATTGCTACCATATAAGAATGATTTCAAGACAAATGCAATATAAAATTTAAAAAGCAAGGCAGTAGACTAGTGGACTTTAAGATCTACAGAAGTGGGGAACTGCAATGGGATAAGTCTCAGCTTTTCAAGTTTAATTGGGGTACAAATGTTAATGGGATACTTAATAAAAACAGACGATAAACAGATGATAATCTCTGATTAACAGCAATGTTGTCCAGAAATCTTAAAAAAGCAAGATTCATTTGCTTGTTGGGCAGTCATAACTCAAAAAAAAAAAAAAAACCCAGTTACTATTAGATGGATGTTACTGCTTCGGTGTCTGATTACTATCCTAGAAAGAGTTTCTATGATAGACCTGTTGGAAGTGTGTAGTAAGGTAGGTGGAGCTACTAGAGGTAACTGCTGCCAGGTTGTTCCCTGTGGCCTTTATTCATTCCCTTCTTCTTCAACCAATAAACATAATGTGTCTTACCTTTACACCTGATGTCTTTGAGGGAGTTCAAGTCCTCGTCCACCTCCTCCAATGCAGGAAGAAAGAAAAATCAATTGGTTGGGAAAATAGATTCCCCTGAGAGTGGACAGAGTCTCGGGCTTTCATCGAGAAACAGGGCAACGAGAGAGAGGGCTGTAATCTCTCTCGATCCCACTTAATCCCAGGCAAGTGAGCTGCCTGCCTCTGGCCCCAGGAAGCCGGTTACTCCCTCACCGGCTGGCTTGTCTATGCTGAGCTGCCAAATCTTCTTAACCATTTCAGCTGTTAGCGGTACACGAAGGTAACTGAGGGATAACGACAGAGGAAGCGAAGGTGTCGCCTTAAATAAGTGTAAGAATTGATACATCTGAGGATTAATTACACAATCATCAGTTACAAATCTCTCAAGAAAAATGCTCATTTGATCCCCATTTCATTCACATAATTAAAAACAGATTTAACTCTAAACACATCCGTTTTCTTTGAGTCAAAGGGGTCAATGGGTAACTGTTACAGAATCTATACCAGGGGCTCTCCAATTCTCGACGTCCGCTGTGCTACACCTCTGAACTGCTTCAACTAACCTGTGTCTATAACCAGGTCACTAGCAGGACTCTGGAGAACTTCCCTCAATCGAAACACAGCAAATTGTCAAAAGGCTGTCTGATTACAGCACAGCAATACAGAGTTCCTTTACTGCAAACCTTAGTGTCTTTCCTATTGAACGCAAAAAAATTGAAGGGACGGGAGCAAAGGCTCGGTTTTACTTTATTCTGACTGAGCTCTTGACTATGGATATAGTTCAGTTAACTGATTTAGGTGTGAGGAATCAGAGACCCATTTAAGGAGTTCAGGACTTCAATATCGCCTTATCTATACCCTTTGAAGATTTTGTTAGAGATTTGACATAATCAAACTATGTCAACTGCCAAGTCAAAGGAGTCACACATAAAATCATCTATGTTATAGGAAACATCTTTATAAAAGCTGAAGTCATACTATGTCAAACCAAAAGTTTATTATGTTAAAGCTAAAGTCACACTTCGTATAGTCAAACTATTTCAAAGTTTAAGTCGCACTATGTAAATCTTAAGTTGCACTACATAAAAGCTAAAGTCGCTCTACATAAAAGCTAAAGTCACACTTCGTAAAATCTAGTCAAACTATGTCAAAGTTAAAGTCGCACTATGTAAATCTTAAGTTGCACTACGTAAAAGCTAAAGTCGCACTACACAAAATATTAAGTTGCACTGGGTAAAAGCTAAAGTCGCACTAGGTAAAAGATTAAGTCGCACTAGGTAATAGCTAAAGTCGCACTAGGTAAAAGCTAAAGTCGCACTAGGTAAAAGCTAAAGTCGCACTAGGTAAAAGATTGTCGCACTAGGTAAAAGCTAAAGTCGCGCTACATAAAAGCTAAAGTCGCACTACACAAAATATTAAGTTGCACTGGGTAAAATCTTAAGTCTCTACGTAAAAGCAAAAGTCGCACTACGTTAAAGCTAAAGTCGCACTACGTCAAAGCTAAAGTCGCACTAGGTAAAAGCTAAAGTTGCACTAGGTAAAAGCTTAAGTTGCACTACGTAAAAGCTAAAGTCATACTAGGTAAAACCTTGAGTTGCACTACGTAAAAGCTAAAGTCATACTAGGTAAAACCTTGAGTTGTACTTCGTAAAAGCTAAAGTTGCACTAAGTAAAAGCTTAAGTCGCACTACGTGAAAGCTAAAGTCACACAACGTAAAAGCTTAAGTTGCACTACGTAAAACCTAAAGTCGCACTAGGTAATAGCTAAAGTCGCACTAGGTAAAAGCTAAAGTCGCACTAGGTAAAAGCTAAAGTCGCACTAGGTAAAAGATTGTCGCACTAGGTAAAAGCTAAAGTCGCGCTACATAAAAGCTAAAGTCGCACTACACAAAATATTAAGTTGCACTGGGTAAAATCTTAAGTCTCTACGTAAAAGCAAAAGTCGCACTACGTTAAAGCTAAAGTCGCACTACGTAAAAGCTAAAGTCGCACTAGGTAAAAGCTAAAGTTGCACTAGGTAAAAGCTTAAGTTGCACTACGTAAAAGCTAAAGTCATACTAGGTAAAACCTTGATTTGCACTACGTAAAAGCTAAAGTCATACTAGGTAAAACCTTGAGTTGCACTACGTAAAAGCTAAAGTCATACTGGGTAAAACCTTGAGTTGCACTTCGTAAAAGCTAAAGTTGCACTAAGTAAAAGCTTAAGTCGCACTACGTGAAAGCTAAAGTCACACAACGTAAAAGCTTAAGTTGCACTACGTAAAACCTAAAGTTGCACTAGGTAAAAGCTAAAGTTGCACTAGGTAAAAGCTTAAGTTGCACTACGTAAAAACTAAAGTCATACTAGGTAAAACCTTGAGTTGCACTACGTAAAACCTAAAGTCGCACTAGGTAAAAGCTTAAGTCGCACTACGTGAAAGCTAAAGTCACACAAACGTAAAAGCTTAAGTTGCACTACGTAAAACCTAAAGTCGCACTAGGTAATAGCTAAAGTCGCACTAGGTAAAAGCTAAAGTCGCACTAGGTAAAAGCTAAAGTCGCACTAGGTAAAAGATTGTCGCACTAGGTAAAAGCTAAAGTCGCGCTAAATAAAAGCTAAAGTCGCACTACACAAAATATTAAGTTGCACTGGGTAAAATCTTAAGTCTCTACGTAAAAGCAAAAGTCGCACTACGTTAAAGCTAAAGTCACACAAACGTAAAAGCTTAAGTTGCACTACGTAAAACCTAAAGTCGCACTAGGTAATAGCTAAAGTCGCACTAGGTAAAAGCTAAAGTCGCACTAGGTAAAAGCTAAAGTCGCACTAGGTAAAAGATTGTCGCACTAGGTAAAAGCTAAAGTCGCGCTAAATAAAAGCTAAAGTCGCACTACACAAAATATTAAGTTGCACTGGGTAAAATCTTAAGTCTCTACGTAAAAGCAAAAGTCGCACTACGTTAAAGCTAAAGTCGCACTACGTCAAAGCTAAAGTCGCACTAGGTAAAAGCTAAAGTTGCACTAGGTAAAAGCTTAAGTTGCACTACGTAAAAGCTAAAGTCATACTAGGTAAAACCTTGATTTGCACTACGTAAAAGCTAAAGTCATACTAGGTAAAACCTTGAGTTGCACTACGTAAAAGCTAAAGTCATACTAGGTAAAACCTTGAGTTGCACTACGTAAAAGCTAAAGTCATACTAGGTAAAACCTTGAGTTGCACTTCTTAAAAGCTAAAGTTGCACTAAGTAAAAGCTTAAGTCGCACTACGTGAAAGCTAAAGTCACACAACGTAAAAGCTTAAGTTGCACTACGTAAAACCTAAAGTTGCACTAGGTAAAAGCTAAAGTTGCACTAGGTAAAAGCTTAAGTTGCACTACGTAAAAACTAAAGTCGCACTAGGTAAAAGCTTAAGTCGCACTACGTGAAAGCTAAAGTCACACAAACGTAAAAGCTTAAGTTGCACTATGTAAAAGCTAAAGCCGCACTACATAGTAGCTAAAGTCAAACTGTGTCAAAGCTAAAGTCCATTTTGTTAAAACTAAAGTTGCCCAAATTAAAAGGTAATGTCAAACTATGGGAAAGCTAATTTCTATTATGTCAAAGGTAATGTCAAACTATGGCAAAACTGATTTCTATTATGTCAAAGGTAATGTCCTAAAATTATTAATGAATTGAAAGAGAATTTCAAAAATGATTGCATATGTAAAATACCAGGTTATGACCCCTTTTAAAGTAGAGGCTCGTAGAGTAGAGAAGAAGTTGCTAAATTTCCAACATCTAAATGGGTCGCAGATAAGTTCATTTTCTTAAAAATAAAAATTCCCGAGCCACTCATATGACACCTGGGGGGGAACATAATAGGACTAAGTGACACCAACATTGCCCTACATTATGGACAAATTAGCTTTAATCTGTAAATCAACAACTAACCGTATTTGGGGAGGCCAGTAGGGTGGTCTGGGTCATTTACAGGGTGGACCATATTTTCTCTGGGCTTTATTTACACATATATATATATATTTTTATTAATCCTTTTATTTTTATATACGTAAAAAGATCTAATATGAAAATAATCCCCACCTACTGGTGAGGCACTGGTGTTTCACAATTCTTCAATACATATGCTCTTTTTTTTTAAATGCAAGACATCTGGAACTGTATACTTTTCCAAAGAACACCAATGAATAAGAAACTTTTATTTTGTCAATAATCCATGAGGATGGCTACTCAGTGTCAACAACCCCTATAAAATAACCCAGGAGCTTCATATAATAATCACCTGTTTCCTGGTTACTACACATCTATTTATCTAATAATTTACTTCTGCATCCTTGAACTTTTCCCATGGCCCAACTACTACAAGGTTGTAATCTACCCATTTTGTTTATAGAAGTTATACATTTCCCATTTTTATTGCTGCGTAAATATGCGCATCGTCAGCGTATTTGCCAAATCAAGCCGATTCGGATTAAAGAACAAATTGTCCGATATTCTCTTTTAGGATTTTTTTGTAGAAAAGCTTTCTTTTGCTGTAAATCCACTCAATCGCTCTGATTTAGCCAGTAAATTATATTTATTGCCACTTGTTTAAAATTTCACCACATTTGATGGCATTTAAAAAAAAGGCAAAAAACAAAAAAAACAACAGATGAAGTCAACAGGGAAAGGAAAAGACTAAAATTCATCTTTACAAACAAAAGCACAAATGTACAGTCAGTTGTCATGCGCAGCTTCACTTCGAGTAAATCAATCTGGACACAAATGTTGGAATGACATGAGCCTCCCAAAGGTTTTTGCAGACCTCTTGTAGATTTTCCACTCTCCTTACCGCCGGCTGTTGTCTTTTAGCACAAAATCATTTCTTAAGACTGTATTGGAAACTGGCACAATTGACTCAAAGCATCAACAAGAAAAAGGTCAGTATGAACAGATGTAGCAGAGATCTGATCCACATCTGCAGCACTGATCCCACTGCCTCTATGACGTCAACCGATGATAGATTTTACTTTTTTTTTTAACCTTTAGGAATTACCAACCTCATAAATTCATATTTCATATCCACTAGCAATACAGATTAAAAAGTTTCAATTTTAATTTAAAGTCTGTGCCATTTCATTTTGACATTTTTTTTAAGTCTATCTGGGATATTTAGGCTGAGATTGTCTAGAAAAAAAAAACAAAAACACATGAAACCCCATTTTACCGTTTCACATTATGCTTCCAGTCCAAGTTTCTGCCAGAGGTATAGAAGTCCTCCATTAGACCAAAACCAAGCATTTATTCAGCTTTAGAGTCACAGTCAAAGCAGTTTAAATTAGGATTTTTTTTTTTTTGTTTCTAGATCCTTATTTAATAAATCTTTTATTTTTGCATATATTAATCCTTCTATTATTAAAAGAGTTCTTCTGCAGGATAGTTAAAGTCCCGGACTGTCCTCGTTTCCGTATAAACCTTCCACCAGAGGGCATTACAGTTTGGTTTTTTCATCACATGAAGTACATGATGACACTAAATGTAAACCGTAATGAAAATACTTCAGTTTGTTTTGTTTTTTTTAAATACGTCTGTAGCTTTTAAATCTTTTACTCTGCTCTCGTCGTCTTGCTTCTTATTTCCGTCAACGCGCTAGAAAACTCAGTAATACTTCCAGCTGGATCCGGAAGAGGAGAAAGCAGCTCGCTGTTTATGTTTCCATCTTCCCGATCAGAACGGAAAAAAGTCAAGACGGGTGATGATCAAACTCTACTTCCTGAGCAAGCAGACTTGAGTTTTACCAACTTCCCGTCATCGGCTGAACCGGTGAAGGAGGAAGAGGGGAAAAACGCAGGAATCGTTCTATGAAATCTTCTCGTGTTGGATCTGGTAGTAGCAGGCCTGCAGTTGGAAAATTAGGAGAAAAAAAAAACATAAAAAAAGAAAATAAAAACATAAAATCGGATGAGTGTGATTTTCTGTTACCTTCAAGGTGGTGAACATGATCCCATGCTCTCCGTGCTGAACGCAAGGGTCCATTAGGTCTTCGATGAGGCTCACCTCTGAACCGAGGTTGCGGATTCTAAAGAGGAAGATCACAGGTAATCAAACGGGTTCCAGATGTTGCCACTGGGTTGGATTAAGCGTCGGCTTACCGGGCGCGCAGCACAACGTAGAGGAAGACGGGGAAGAGGTCGTCCATGGACCACAGGAAGTCCTGCTTCAGCAGCAACTGCACCTCCTGGGTGATCTCCTCGAAAGTGAGCTGGATAACCTGCAGCTTATCCGACGGCGTGAAAGTCGTGCTGCAAAAAATCGTGAGAAACAGAAGGCTTCATTTTAACTGTACCGTATTTTCTGGACTATAGGGAGCCCCTCAATATAATCTGCACCGGGCTATAACCCGCCATCTACTGAACTGTCCCCCAACACACCTGTAGGGGGAGCTCTCTACCCTAGAGTAGGGACAAACAAGAATGCTAGCTCTTGTTAGCTCGTTGTCTCGCAGCAGTAAGAGCTTCTAATGAAAGATGGGGCTTTGTCAATCTTTATTTCAGCTCTGCAGGGGTTGCCCACAGTCTCTTCACTGGTTCGACAGCTTTAATAAAGCAAATAAATTTGTTTTCCGTTGTTCTGGCTGCTAGCATGTGCTAAATGAAAATTAGCCCCTCCTTCTTTTATTTCCAACTGGAAAAATCTACAAAAAAGCTGCACCTTTATATAAGCCGCAGGGTCCAAGGCGTGGGAAAAAAAGTAGCGACTTATAGTAGAGAAAATATGGCACCTATTAAATATATCATAAATGTAGAGGAGGGCGGGACCTGATCTGCTGCAGAGTTTCCACCGCCGAGGCGAAGCAGGCGTCCTTTGTGGTCGGGATGACCTGAAAGGACAAAGTCATTTAGAAGGAGACGGTACGTCTATCAGCTACGGCGGGAAATATTTACCGGCTGCCTCTCGCCCGGAGTGGGTGGAGCGTTAGGAATGGAAACGGGCCAAAATTTTCTGCAACAGGATAAGACAAACAAATGAAAAAGAAAGACCCAGTTTTACACCGATGGTTGTTTTCGTTCAGGAACAGAGCAGCTTTACTGTTGGACCCCCAGGAAGGCGAGCAGGGCGAGGTCGGGCTGCTTGTTGAGGCGCAGGACGCACTCCCAGTACATGTCGTCCTCCTTCTCCTTTTCCAGAGCGTAGAGGGTGAAGAGCGGAGGGTAGAGGCGAGGCAGGAGGACGGGGAGCAGCAGAGCCGAGCTGCTCACCACGCGGCTGAAACCCCAAAAAATAAATACAAAACATCCTGATCTGTTGGGATTGCGAGCAGCAGCAGGCGGCGGCGTGACTCATACCCTGGTTTGGGCGATTCTGCTCGGGCGTCTGCGGCATCCTGCTTACTGCCTTCAGGACCTTCTGTAGGCTCCGGTATTAGACCGCCCTCTTCTGGCAGGTCGGGGAAGAGAAACCTTTAGAGACAGAAAAGGAAATTTAAACAGAAGCCTCCTTGTTATTTTTTTAAAAAGGTTCCTATCCGTACCGGACGATCTGGAAGATGCGACAGAGGTAAGACTTGATCTCGTTGACTGCCTGAGGCAGCAGCCGACGGTTTGCTCCAACGCCAACGTAGGTCATCCTGTAGACCGCCACCAGGGTCTCCACCAGCCGGCCCAGCGGGTGGAGGGGGGTGTCACATGCCTGTTAAAACGAAAACATGCAGCTTTATAAAGAAAAAGCTCGTAACTAAACAGGGTTGTCAAAAGTGTTGATACTTTTGATAAAGCTAGGTCATATTTCTATTGTTCAAATAACTATTTAGCTCTTCATTTTAAGCCAAAGGAAGGTGAATTCATTGATACCGACTCTTGAACGCACCTTGATCAGATAGAGTCGGATGCTATGATATCTCTCCATTGTGATCGGTCCATCATGTTGGGGGATCACCTCCAGAGACTCCAGGGTTTTACTATGACTCCGAGACAAAGTATCTGGGCTGAGGAAACAAGCCGCAGGAATAATGGTCGTTTCTAAGCGGTGTAACGAGGTTAAACTTTTATTTTTTGCTAACCTGTCATGTATTTGCTGCCTGTTGGCGGTCAGGGCCACAGCGATGTTTTCCCAGGCCTTCCAGTGCTCCCCATGCCCTGCTGCCTCGCAGCCCAGCTGACTCCAGCACTCCTCGAACACCGCCTGCCACTTTTCCTCCGCTCTCACGCTCAGACGGCCGAGCTTTCTGCATTAAGAGAATCAAACAAAAGTAAACCGGAGCGAGACGTTTAATCCAGAGGCTTTGCCAAAGAGAGGAGCTTTACACGGCGCGGTTCTTGTCCTTTTCAGCTTCGAACAGGTTTGGTTTGAAATAGGAGCCTGTCACTTTAAGACCAGACCCCCACTCGCCACTAAAGGAGCCCTCCAGGTAGTCACCGTTAGGCATGGTGAGAACGCCCTGAAATTATAGAGAGAAATCTTGTATTCAAGCAAAACGGTTCCGTTAGATCAGTTTGCATTTAGAGCACCTTTCCGCTGAGGGTCCATTCATCAGAAAACTCCCCCTCGTAGGTCGTGTCGTCCTCAGACAGAAGGATTCCAGTACCCTAAAAGTCAGATTTGATTCTACTTAAACATTTCCATCCATCTTAGCGAGTTTGTTAGAAAACTCACCATCATCTTGTTGTCTTTGAAAGCTCCTTCATAGTACAGACCAAACTGGGTGACAACAACCCCCATGCCCTGCCGTTGGTGTTCCTGCCACATTCCCATGTACTTCTCCCCTCTGTGCAGAAAACAGGGGGAACTTGTAAGACAGAATATGTCGGCAAAATAGTGTCTGAGAAGTTCAGGGCATACTTTGTGATATCGTCGAAGACTCCGTAGCCCGTCTTCTTGTCCTGGAGCCACTGTCCAATGAAGACGCTGGGGGATGAGGTGTTGTGCTTTCCGCTGCGCAGCATCCCGTGGCCTTGCCGCACGCCATCCTGGAAGGAACCGTCGTAAACTTCACCGCTTGCGTACCTTTATCAAGACAGAGGAGTTTTCATCTCTTAGACAGAACAAAAACGAAGCAGCTGGTCTTTTTTCCCCCCATAGATTTCGCCACAGATCCAAGATGGCGGATTTTTGGTTTAATGAAGACGGAATAATATTTTTATGGAACCATTTTGAAACAGATTCCGAGAACCTTAAGTAGTATGGAGTTAAATTAAACCTGAAAAAAGAGAATTGAAATAGAAAAAGAAAAACATTTAAATCTGAACAAAAGTGTAAAACATTTACTTGTTAAAAAGCAAAACAAACAAAACAAAAAAACTAATCAAAAGCTTTTTTTTTTTTTTTTTAAAAAGGAAACGTTGTTTGAAAAAAAAAAAAAAAAAAACATTTTTTTTTTCTTCAAATAAATGTTTTGGCCTCAATTTAACTCCATAAAAAAACGGATTCTTTCCAATGGTCTAGATAAAACAAGACAGACATTTGGAAACAGGGGAATTAAATTTTTATTTCCTTGTCAGGACTTCGCTTTATCATAAATCATGGTCTTTGGTAATTATATTTTTTCTGAAGTATTTATTCCGTTTCAGTTTAGTGAAATGTACCAACAATACATTTCACTATGAATTTTGCCTCTGCAAATTTTCTTTCTGATGGCACTAATTTCAGCTTTTATTGTCATTACACACATAGTACAGAGCAATGAAATGAACTCTGCATTTAACCTTTTTGGGAGCAGTTAGCGGCGCCCGGGTTTAGGGGCCTTGCTCAGGGTCCCAGAACAGAAGTTTGTGGGAGTGTTTTGAACTCAGAACATTCTGATACCTAAACACAATGCTCTACCCACTAGGAAACCACTCCCCTCACCACTATGTAAAAAATAAAACAAAAATATTTATTTGCACTGTTTTGTCCCAGTTTGGATTTGAGAACATTTTCACAAGGTTTTGTTTTTTGTTTTTAAAAATATTTGCAGGTCATTGATGTAAAATTAACCCTACATTAGAAAAAAGAATCCAAAATCTTGGAAATATGTATTTGTAAATCGGAGATCTGCTGCCCCCATGTGGACAAGAACGAAAATGTGCATAAAAGATAAGTATGGTGGAAGAAATAAAAAAAAAAAACATCTTTATCTGTATTTACAGTTCTCCTGTAACAGAAAACATTTTAGTTTTAGTGAGACCTACCGGTATGTCCCGAGGCCGTGCATTTTCCCCTCTTTCCAATAACCTTGATAGAAATCATCTTTGTTCAGAGCCTTATTGGGCCAAATAAACTCCCCAAAGCTGCACACAGACATTGAAAAATAAATACAAGTTGAGTGAGAGGACGACAAACCCCCCCCGCAATGCATTAAGAGCTGATTTGATGCTTTGCTCACCCATCCTCCAGCCCGTTCTTAAAAGATCCCGTGTAAATCCTCCCATCAGGCCATTTTAAAATACCCCTGAAAACAAAAGCAGCAAATTAAAGAAATCAGACTTTGCTTTGTTTCCTTAACCCCAAAGGGTGACCGACCTGCCGTGAGGCTTCCCAGCCAGCCAACGGCCCTCGTAAGTGGCGTCCTTCAACCGCCCGTCTTTATAGAAGGTGTAGGAAGCCGTCCTGGAGATCGGAGGCTCCGCCTTCGACCCAGGGCTGCCGGCGTCCTGTGCCGCTCCGTTCAGAGCCTGATCCACTGCCTGGTTGATGGCACGGAGCCACTTAGTCTTAAAATGAGAAGATTGGAGGTTTGGTAAATAAAACAAAAAAAAGAAAAGGAAACAAACAGAGTCTTTGTTTGTTATTAAGACTCACCTTCTCAGCAGAAGATGAGGCCATAAGCGTTAAAGTCTCCTCAGGCGTCACCACCTTCAAGCCATGTCTACACACAAACACGACATAGTTTAAGCTAATTTTTAAATGAATACATTTTAAACCAATAAACTAGTTTTAAATGAAATTAGTGCCACTTTATCTTACTTAAATTTTAAAAAAGCTCAAAAGCAGGAGAAAAGTATAAATTGGGGACTGATCCAGCATCCATAGGGTTAAATGAGTGAAACTTTTGTTGACCTTTACAAACTAACACCATAAAAAAAAAATTAAAAAATTAAAAGAGACATCTGGAATCTGAATAAAATGTATAAAAATGTATTGAGAGTTTGTAATTAACTTACAGTCCAGAATCGTCCTCTGGAGTCGGCTCCACCCACAGCGTGGCCAAGGCAAAGATGTGATGGGTGGAGAACTGGAGGGGAAGCGGGAAAAAGAAAGATGGGGAACTTAAAAATTGATTTTATATAAAAACTCGAACATTCAGATGTAAAAAAAACAACAAAAAAAACCAAAAAGAATTTGAATGACCACAGGTTACGAGAAAAGACGCTGAAATTTCTGTATTTCCAATATTAAAATCTTTGTTTTCTGAGTCGCTTTGGGACAAATTAAGGTTTCAGGCATGTGGTAGGGCACCTAAGGGATCTTTTAAAAATGCTAGTTTGAAGAAAAGGAGGAACAAAGCAGAAAAGGAGGAAGCTCCGTTTCTTAACTGCCCTTCAGTCTAACCGCGCTTCTACCCAGAGATTACATCTAAACCAGGCTGGGTTTCACACAATCAAGAGAACTGATAAGGTCATGTGAAAAAGAGTCTGTCCTCTTCCTAATTGCTTTTTTCCCTCTTCATTTAGCATTTTTTGTCACGACTTTTAAAAAAAATATCAACAAATGTATATATTAACTAAAGAAAACACAAGTAAAGACAAAGTGCTGTTTTTAAATAAAGTATTTTTATATTAGGGATCACTGCCACACCTGTCCTTAATCAATAAATCACTTAAATAGAACCTGCCGACATCCAAAGAAAATCAGGAATCAGAGAGTAAGTATTGAGATTCCTTTTGCACCGATTGTAGATTCCTATTTTGACCGATGCCAACTTTCATATTCAATATTTACTTCAATATTACCTTCAACAGAGCATTGATGGTTGGTGATTTTCAAACTTGAACATAGGTTGGTGAAGATGTTTTTTTTTTTTTTGTTTTTTTTTTTATGTTCAATTATCGGCCAATTAAAGATTTCCGAAAATTAAAGAGACAGTGTGTCAGAAATGTAGCTTTTTGCTATGAAAAAAAAAAGCAAACTTGAGGCGTATAACAGAAAAGTAACTCCGCATAAACTATGGTGGCAGTAGCATGATGGTCTGCGGCTGTTTTGATGCTTCAGGACCTGGAAGCCTTGCTGTGATAAATGGAACCATACATTTCGCAGCGTTTCTAAAATATTCAACCATCTGTTAGTGACTTCTAGCTGAAAATCTGGTTCTGCAGCAAGTGGAAGTGGATAAAGTGGATAAAGAAATATTAAAAAAAAACAACAACAAAGGATTTTGAGTGGCCAAGTCCAAGTCCTGTTCTGAATCTCACTGAGATAAAGTGGCATGACCCTAAAAAGACCGTTCATCTTAAAATAAAAATAAAAATGAGGCTAAAATAACATAACTCTTTTCCTTCATTTTCAAACTGCTAATTTATTTCATATTTGAATAGCATTTAAAACATAAAAAAAAATAAAATAAAATAAAAAAATCAAGAAGAGGGCAGATGCTTTTTTATACTATTATATGAACAGAACAACCACAGGAGAAACTAAACGACTGAACCCAGGGTGGAAATAATTACAAACAGGATGCTGCTTTAGAGAAGGTAACAATATAAACAGTTGGAACCAAGGCTTTTGCTGGAAATAACTGCTTGGATCTTTACTTTAACTTTGGTTGATAATCATTGATAACGTAATGGATAAACAAAGAGAGGATTAGAGCGCCGGAGCCTTGGCTGTAGAGAGTTTATCTTCCCATGCAGCTTCCTGGATGTAGGGGTCAGGCAGAGGGTGGAGGTCAAGTTAAAGAAAACCTTCATGCAACAACGAACACAGATATGATTTGTCTATTGGCTGAGTTAGGAAATACATTTAGAAGTACAGAAAAAAATAGAAACCAAAAGTAAAACTGCTGCAACTAATACTTATTTTACAGAAATTAAATACTATATGTCTGAAAATACATTTAGCTCAGCTTGGAATTATTTAAACATACACCTCTTTAATTTAACACATCATATTTAATAATATAGCTTAGCATAAGCTAGTTAGCCTATCCTAAATAGCTAGTTAGGTCGTGCTAAGTTTAGCTAACTTTACTGCGGTTATCTTAAGTTTGTTTACTTTGTATTAGCTTAGTAATTACATTAAATTCATTCTCAGTTAACTTTCTTTAGCTAGAGCTAGCATACTTTAGCTCAGCTTAAATACTTCGTCATATAATTGAAATTGACAGCGAATAACTAATTTGGCTAACAAATTTGTTAGCTGTGTGTTTTACCCGTTTATGAAGACATGTTATTGGTGAAGGAGAATAAAACTAGCAAAGACAACTGTAGATTGTTCTACTTGCTATTTTTTGTTAAAACGGAGGGACGACTGTTCTCACCAATACAAGAGGAAATAGAAAGTAATGAAAAAAAAAAAAAATAGTAAACACTGAGGGAGAGTTAGAGTCTACATCAGACATGGAGGTTGCAGGCTTTCTGCTGGGCAGTTAATTCAATAGCAAAGTGAAATTTACTCCAGAAACTAGTCTGTAGTTAGCCTTCCCTGGACGAGCTTCATTGCAGTAGTTATCAGTCGCTGTTATTCTACACAGAAGTCAAACCAGCAGGCGACTTTGGCTGTTAGCAGTAGCTAAAATTTTAACTTGTTAGCATAAAAAAAAAAAAAAAAAAAAAAAAAAAAAACAGAACTATGCACTGTTCTGTACGGCATCATCTGACAATTCTTAATTTTATACAGGATGTTTACATTGTCACATATATGACACCCTGTAATTTCCATAGTAGTTATTACACACTTAGGTGTTTGGAATTTACATAGCAAACCACTAGATGGCACTAAATCTTAGACACTGGTGCTTTAAGTTCAGTGGTTTTTAGCACAGGTGTTCTTTACCTCATCAAATTGTAGTTTAGGAATACTTAAATTGGCTAAGTTTCACTTTTAATTTATGTGGTTTATCATATTTTGCTGTATAATATTTATCAATTCTGTCGTTTTAGCAAGGTCAGGTAAAAAATGTCAATCTACTGACCTCAGTTGTTAATTTTAAGGTTTTAAAGGGATAGTTCGGTATTTTTGACATGAATCTGTATGGCATCCCGATCACCAGCGGCATGCAATCACACTGACTTACCCCTGGCAGCGTCCTGTGAGCAGAGTTATCGTCCAGTTTTGGTCAAGCCGAAAGTAGTCCTGCAGGTTTTTAGGTACAGCGAAATAAAACGTTTCTCTTCCCAAAACATTATGTGTCCAAAAGAGTGATATTTTCGCATCCCAAAAACATTGTAGTTGAAAAAGTCACACGTCGTTATCAATTGGTCCTATTTTCTCTCTGTTCGTATCAGTGCGCGCCGTCATTCAGACAGCGAGCCCAACAACAGCCATGTCTCCTTCCGCGGCGGAGGGAGACATGGCTGTTGTTGGGCTCGCTGTCTGAATGACGGCACGCACTGATACGAACAGAGAGAAAATAGGACCAATTGATAACGACGTGTGACTTTTTCCCCTACAATGTTTTTGGGATGCGAAAATATCACTCTTTTGGACACATAATGTTTTGGGAAGAGAAAAGTTTTATTTCGCTGTTCCTAAAAACCTGCAGGACTACTTTCGGCTTGACCAAAACTGGACGATAACTCTGCTCACAGGACGCTGCCAGGGGTAAGTCAGTGTGATTGCATGCCGCTTGTGATCGGGATGCCATACAGATTCATGTCAAAAATACCGAACTATCCCTTTAAACTGTAAATTAGCATAAATTCTCGGAGTATAACAAATACAAGTAGCTGTTATTTTCGGTTTTATGAGCAGATAAGAAATTACTTGTTGAGTAAATCTGATAACTCAAAGCTCTAAACTCCTAAATTTAAAGCAGACAAGACAAAAAAAAAACGGAAACAGAACGATGAAGAAGGAAGGACGGGGAGAGACTTGGAGTAAGAGTTGAAACCTTTAGCTGGCTGCATACTTACGAAGTTTTTACAAGGTGCCACGCCCTGACAGCACAGAGGCAAGCACACACAAACTCTTGAAAAACAACAGAGAGGAAAAAAAAGAAAAGCAGAACAGCCAAAAACATGCGACGCTACAAGAAGACGTGTGAGGAGCTGACCTGCGCGTGCACCAGAGAGTCATTGAAGAGGATGAACCAGTTGACGGAGAACCTCCCGGCATTCTGCACGGTCAGAGATTTGTTGCTGCTTTCGTAGATCAGTCGGCGGTGAGGTTTCCTCAGGGAGTCCTGATCAAAAAAACGAAGCTCACACTCAGCTACCTGTCGAAAACCTGAGACATCAAGACTGAAATGGTGCAAAAGTACCGTCATTTTCCCTGGAAAGCTCTTCCAGAAGTGGAAGGTGTATTCAGCCTCTTTCCTTTTCCTCTTCAGCTGCAGAGTCAGAGCTTCAAACTTGGAGCAGGTGTCCTGCAGCTTCTGGTAGTCACCGGAGCTCTAAAAGCAATAAAAAACTAAAACTATGAAGATTTGTTTCAAAAGTTTGAGTTCATTTTGATTCCAGAGATTTTGAAACCACACATTTCTTCCATTACCACTTCAAAGCAGGTGGTCAGTTTGAGCAGCAGGCGACTGTATTCGTGCAGGTGCTGCAATGGGAGGTAGAAAAGTGCAGTGAGGAGGTCGGAGGTGGATGCGTTCTCCTCGCCGCTTTCCAGCAGCCTCTGCAGCAGCTCAGGGGTTTTCCCAAAGATGTCCCTTATAAAAAAAAAAATATAAAGTAAAAAACTAAGAATAAACCCCTTGTTTTGTAAAGCTTTTTTTTTTCATAATAAAACTGCGAGGAAACTCACAGGGACGGTTTTGTAAGAGCATGGAAACCACCCATCACGAAGAAGTTACCCACAGCTGAGAAGTAACTATAAAAACCAAAAAACAAACAGAAGGTTGGTCTAAGTGTGAAAATAAAACAACAAAAAGAGGGGATTTCTGGATACGTACTCGTTATACAAGTCTAGAAAGATGCTGGCGTGGTCGAGGATGAGAAGGGTCTTTACGTCACGGCCCCGTCGGAGACTGGCGGTGAGGCTGGCGGCGTGCTGGCCCGTCAGACGAGCCAACACACCGAATCTACCCGCCAACGTCTGCAGGAGTTCGGTGACCACCGGCCCCAGCGCCGAGCTCAGAGCCTCTGACAAACAGGAGGGGGGAGGGGATAAAGAGTGGGATTCCGATGCACCGAGCTGTAAACATTACTTTGGAAACGTATTCTCACCCAGCTCCAGCAGGGGGCGTATGACCTCAGATTTGACATCTGATAGTTTACAGTAGAACTTCCTCTCTGCTGACGCCAATTCGTGAAGGCTGGCGATGAAGCCCATGACGTTCCTGTCGGAGAGCGCAGCGCACTTACGACCGCCCGCGGCTACGCTGCTGACGTAGCCGAGCTGAAATATACAAAATCTATAAATCATTTTAAATAAAAACAAAACTGTCTTCCTGTCAAGAAGAGGATCAGACCACAGTTGTTTTGCAAAGCTGTTTGTAACTACAGCTGTACTCAAGTTAGTCCCAGGGGGCTGAAAAAATAAACAAGAAGACTGATATGAAGTAAGGATTCTGCCAAAAGGGCAAATGGTTTCTATCTTATTCAAGTTTCAACTTTAACAAGAACATCCCTAAAAATTAAGCTCTCAGTAGAAATCCGGTATTTTGTGTCCCTTTTTCTTTTTTATGAGGTTCAGTTCTTTTTACGTCTTTCAGTTCTTTTAAGGTGGAACCTTGACGACTGTTTCCTTCACTGCTCGGGGTTCATAAAGTGTTCATTCATTCACAACAAGGTATTTTTTTTTCTTTGTGGTCGTGGACCTAAAAAAATCCTGACTACACATTGGATGGTAACAAATCCACGCAGATCTCAAGCGGAAGTGCGCAGACAAAAAGCCGCTGTGATTGGTCCTTGGTATGCCTTTCCGGCTGTCTGTGTGGTCATCCTTCTCGATTTGATACTGGGGCGCGCCATTTATAAAAACCGAGGAACTATTACCATGGATAACTATGACAAAAGGTTAATTGAGGAGGTTCGGAAGTACAACCAGTTGTGCGATGCCTCAGACAAATTATATAAAGTCGCCAAGGTCTCTGCCAACTCCTGGAGGGATCCAAAAGACTTTTTGCAAAGGTGGAAGAGACTGAGATAAAAACTTCAAGTTCTCACGAGTACTCGAATAAGCTCCCTCTTGCACTTTGGCGGGAAACTGCTGTGCGTCCCTAGAAATTCCAGACTGACGGTGCAGAAGCATACCAGCAAAACTTGTTCATGACAAGACGCAAGCGACATTTGATGTCTGCGGTAGAGCCCTGCACTCTCGCGGGACCCAACGCAAAGCAGTGCGGCGCGGGACAAATATTGAAAGTTCATTGCGGGTGCAGGCGGGAGGGAGAGCGCACAGTGCAGCTGGGGGCGGGAGCGGTGATAAGCAGCAGTCCCGTTTATTATCAGTCTATATCATGTATATACATCACAATGTGCTGCATACTGCAGCTCGTGCCACCTAACGCGAGTCATGCACTATGCGGAGAAGAATCACCCAGTAATGTGCTCAGCTAAGCACAGCGTGTTTAATTCCTCAAACTAATGACACAATTGCCTTGAGCAATAGTTGAACATCGGAATCATGCGGGAATTGCGGGCGGGAGCGGGATAAACTATTACAGGTGCGAGCAGGAGCGGGACTGAAAATCATAATCCTTTGCGTGAGCGGGTCTGAACACTGCGGGGGCGGGCCTCTAGTGTGCGGTTGCAAAAGTATAATCCGCTCCATTAACAGAACGTGTTCCTCTTCAATGTCTAGAAACTCTAGATCCATCTCCGTGACCGTGATATATTGCAGATGCGCCATTATTAACCCTATCCCAGCTGGGGGGAATGAGCCCGTGTGGGTCCTTAAAGTTAGGTCCAAAATGCTGATCCCTGGGATTTAAACACTGGGATGGGTTAAGAGTTAATTTCGTTGCTCTGTACTTCTGACAGTGTAATGGATACACTGTAAGACAGTGCATCCATGCTCAGTAAATTGTCTAAACTTTACTGATAAACTCAGTAAACTGTCTTAATGTGAGTTAGGCTGTAAATAAAAAAAAATAAATACAGTTTTTTTGGTATCTTTTACATTTTCTGTATACATTTTTGTGTTTTACTTAAGCATAATTGTAGAAAATTTCAATTAAATGCATTAATTTCCATTATGTAAAAGAATAATGAATTATAGGATTTCACAACATAATAAAATATTGGTCCACGAAACATGGAGATAAAAGCTCCTCTGAAATTCAACAGAATTGTTTTAATTACTGCAAAAATAACTATTACCAGCTGATGGGAAAGTGATGCAAATGATTAACATTTTTAATTGTTAGAACACAGGGAATGTTTAAGGAATCTGTGTCGTAGACCAATTTCTAAAACTGATTTCTTATTGCAGAAAAGGCCCTGCAGGCCCTTTCCATGAATTTGGTCAATTTGACACAAAGTGAAATAAAAAATAAATAAATTCTAGCTAAAAAAAAAAATGTACGGTTTGAATTAATTCATGTGTTTATGTCTAAGCAAAGCAGCAAATAGTTAAGATCCTGAGAATAAAAAGTTTGTTTTTCCTTAGATGCCTGGTGTTCCTAATTAGCCTCATACCTAAATTAATGCCAATTTTGAAATAAATAACCTTGATTTAATCCAACATCTCATTAACATCAAAAACACTAATGTTATTATTTTTAATATAAAAGTGTATAAATGTGGGTATTAGAGGGTTGAAGCTATTTATGGGTTTTTTGATTCATAAAAACCTGGAACTTCATAGACTTTTTAAATCTGTGGCACATAATAAAATGTAGCAGTTTTTCCTCACGTTCATGCAGAAAGGGAGCAGGACAGGCTGCTGGGTGCAGCCTCCTGCCCGCTCCTCTTCCTCTTCTGTTGCTCCTCCCTCCTCATCCTCCTTCACCTGCCGCCCGCTGTAGTAAATGATGGGCTGGATGCAGTCTCCGTCGGCCAGCAGCAGAGTGTGTTGCTCTCCTGCACTCGCATCCCACACCCTGATCCCCTCCGACAGCTGAAAGTGGAAACAAACCACATAAAAACCCTGAAGAAATGAAGGATACCTCAATGAGGACGGGGCGCAGGTCAGTCTACAGACCTTTGCGAGGCGTGGGACGGTGCTGGGAGTCTCCATGTGTCCCAGCTGACCGCAGATGTTGCTGCCCCATGAATACACCTGGAGGGAGGATGGAGAGAGACTGAATGAATAATTGAATTCATTATGGGGGGAATTTTCTTACAGTTTTGTTGTGAGCAAAAAGCACATTTTGTAAATTTAAAAACACAAACAAAAACAATACAATTCAGAAATTAAAAAAAAAAATTTTGTTGTTGAAATTATTCATATTTTGCTTTTTCAGTTCTTTCAAATTCTATATTTTTTTAGCCTTTTTTTTCCATTTCACAGTTTTTATCCCCCAAGATTCTATTTTTCCAGGTTGAGATTTACAATATTTTTTTTTTTAATCTTTATCGATTCTCAGGAAAGTATCGTTTACATAGACATAGGCCTCTACTTCTCAGTGTTAACTCCAACATTTGAAATAAAGCGAAAAAGTAAGGCATTGCGTTATGGCAGTCCAAACAAAGCAGAGATTTCAATTCCCTGATTATAACCAAGAAATAAAAAAAAGAACAAGAAAAAAAAACAAAAAAAAAAGGAAACAACAATGAAAAAACTCAATTCAATGTAACATATTAGGAGAGCAGATAGTTGAGGAGATTTAATCAAGTTAGCTCTCTAAAGTTGAAATCAGATCTTTTAAGTTTTACATCGTCTACCCAAATCTGCCACCACTGACAACTGTTCAGTCTTGTGATTGAGAGGCTGTTGTTTTTTCCATTTTAAAATGCTAAATGTTATGTTGATCGAATCATCCCAAGTTGGTTTGTCTTGTGATAACCATTTTCTCGCAATGTTTTTCTTACTTGCTGTTAATAAAATCGTCATTAAATATTAATTTGTTTTTTTAGGCTTCTTGAGAAATAATACCAAAATACATAAAATTGATCTCCAAAGGAATGTTCTGTTTGAAAATATCTTTTAAGGCATTATTTATCTCTTTCCAGTAATCTTTTATAATTGGGCAGAAGACATGATGATGATTGTTTGCCTTTTTAATTTCTACATTTCCTCCAACATGTGGGGGGATTTCTATCATAGTGACATTTTTGAGCAGGTTTGATAAAAAATATCTTACCAGATTTTTCCATCCAAATTCTTGTCATTGTAGAGATTTATTAAACATCCAATGATATCTCCACATTATTGCCCATTCCTGCTCTGTTATTGTCAAATTTCCGATGTCGCTTTGAATTGTATGGTTGAATTGTTTTTGAGATCCGTTAGGTTTTTATTGATAAGTGAAACAATTTTCCCTTTAATTTTTTATATATAGGTATTAATAAATATGTCCATTAAGTTTATATTTTTGTAATTTATTGGCCTAATTTTTAAATTAACAAAATTTCGTATTGTCTCTTGAGTGTTTAAAAATCACTACAAATTGCATTTTTACAGATCAAACTCTCTTCACTCTGGGGGCGAGCTTTCCTCTGGAGTGAGGAGCGAAGATGCATTTCTATTGGCCTGCATGGACGTTGGAAACAACCTTTTTATTTGCTAAGAGCAAGATATTATATTGAGCTGCGAATGAAGAGAATGTGATCTGTAAAACACCATTTACAAATCTTAATTAGTTTGTTAGGGAAACAACAAAAACAAAACATGAGATATAATAATTAAATATGCATTTAAATATTGCCTTTTTTCCCATTTTAATTCATAAAAAGTGTCCATTGCTTGCAACAATAACAGAACAAAATTCACATTTCCATAATAAACTTTCAATAAGATCAATAAAAAGAGAAACTGACCTGAGACTGAGCCGTCAGAGCGATGGAATGATGAGCGCCGGCCGCCACACGGATCACTTCCTTCTTGTTCAGGCTCTTGATGCAGAGCGGCTGCAGTCTTGAAAAAAACAAAACCTGGGTCTGTTCTCTTATCTTTAGATGTAGTGAAACCTTTCCAGCGGCAGTGTGATGATTTGTTTAAATCACTCTCTACCTGGCCAGGTTGTCTCCATGTCCTAGCTCGCCGTGCTCGCCGTGTCCCCAGCTCCACACCTCGGTCTGCAGGGTGGGAAACACCTCCTGGTCCTCAGGGACGCCCCCTCCCATTGGCGTGAGGGCGAAGGTCCTCGTCTTCGGTCCGCGTCCCATTTTCCTCAAAAGCCTCGGCGACACTGCAGACAGAACAAATAAATGTATATACTAAATCATATTATAATATATTAATTATTAATATTATAATATATTTAATAATATATTATTTTATAAGTAAAAAAAAATAAGTTTTAAAATTCCTAAGCAAGCATTCAGAACAATTTGATCCACAGAGACAAGCTCAATAAAAATGCAACTCATGCGGCACACAGGTGGAGGCGATGCCTGCATTTAACCAGCAGTGATAATAAAGGAAAACAAGCTGATGGTTAAGAGCAAGAGAAACATGCTGGTTTGAACCATGATGTCCTGCCCGTTTCTACAGACTTGTCGCCGTCTACTTAGAATAAATATATACCGTTTATAAAGCAATACAAGTTTATTTTCTTTTTACTTATCATTTCAAACTGTGAATTTACCACCATTAGTGAATAGAATGCATGATGACTGACAGCTGCAGTCCTTGTGTCTGCAAGACTAAATCAGAGTATCTAACTTTGCTGTGAAAGGACTGTATGAAAGTCGTATCCCATCTGGGTCGACGAGGAGAAGCACCCAGACGGAAAAAAATGACTCGACTGGATTCAAGATGGATGGATAGACGAAGAGTAAAATGGAGGAAAGAGTTCATCATTGAGGCCAAGAGGCTTCCCGTCAGGAAACTGTTCAACAACAACAGAGGATCGCCTCACTGGAAAAAACACTATGAGACCAAACAACAACATTTAGTCTCTGATTGGAATCAATACAATATTTCTGTGAGGAAATTAGTATAAAAAGGATGATTGAGTGAAAGGATGAACTTATAGACTGTTGGATGGACTGAGAGATGGGTGAATTCATGGGCAGATTGGGGTGAAAATCATGAATGAATGAATGAATTGATGGATGAAGAGAAACTGAGGAATGGGTGAAAAATTACAGACAGCTGGATGAATTCATTCATTCGTGAGTAAAATGAAGATCTAGTCATGTTGAATTGATGAATGGATTAAATGATGGAGGGTTGAACGGACAGACTGGGCAAATTCATGAATGACAGGGTGAGCCCATTGATGAATAAATGAATTTATGGATGGATGGATGAACTGATCGATGGATAAATAGATATAGGAATTCATGAATTCCTGGGTTCATGAACAGTTAAATTCATGGGTGGATGAATTTGGAAAATAATTCATGGACATTTGGGTAGATTGGTGAATCAAATGATTCATTTGTGTGCCGTTGAAAACATGAATTAAAGGGTGAACCGATCAATGAATGGATTAATTCATGTACTGTTGAATTCATGAATTAAAAGGTTAACTGATGGATGAATGGATTAATTCATGTGCTGTTGAATTCATTAATTAAATTGTTAACTGATGGATGAATGGATTAATTAATGTACTGTTGAATTCATTAATTAAATGGTAATTGATGGATGAATGGATTAATTCATGTGCTGTTGAATTCATGAATTAAATTGTTAACTGATGGATGAATGGATTAATTAATGTACTGTTGAATTCATGAATTAAAAGGTAATTGATGGATGAATGGATTAATTCATGTGCTGTTGAATTCATTAATTAAATTGTTAACTGATGGATGAATGGATTAATTAATGTACTGTTGAATTCATTAATTAAATGGTAATTGATGGATGAATGGATTAATTCATGTGCTGTTGAATTCATTAATTAAATGGTAATTGATGGATGAATGGATTAATTCATGTGCTGTTGAATTCATGAATTAAATTGTTAACTGATGGATGAATGGATTAATTAATGTACTGTTGAATTCATGAATTAAATTGTTAACTGATGGATGAATGGATTAATTCATGTGCTGTTGAATTCATGAATTAAATGGTTGACTGATGGATGAATGGATTAATTAATGTACTGTTGAATTCATGAATTAAATTGTTAACTGATGGATGAATGGATTAATTAATGTACTGTTGAATTCATGAATTAAATGGTTGACTGATGGATAAATGGATTAATTAATGTACTGTTGAATTCATTAATTAAATGGTAATTGATGGATGAATGGATTAATTCATGTACTTTTGAATTCATGAATTAAATGGTAATTGATGGATGAATGGATTAATACATGTACTTTTGAATTCATGAATTAAATGGTTAATTGATGGATGAATGGATTAATTCATGTACTTTTGAATTCATGAATTAAATGGTTAATTGATGGATGAATGGATTAATTCATGTACTGTTGAATTCATGAATTAAATGGTAATTGATGGATGAATGGATTAATTCATGTACTGTTGAATTAATGAATTAAATGGTTAACTGATGGATGAATGGATTAATTCATGTACTGTTGAATTAATGAATTAAATGGTAATTGATGGATGAATGGATTAATTCATGTACTGTTGAATTAATGAATTAAATGGTTAACTGATGGATGAATGGATTAATTCATGTACTGTTGAATTAATGAATTAAATGGTTTACAGATGGATGAATGGATTAATTCATGTACTGTTGAATTCATGAATTAAAAGGTTTACTGATGGATGAATGAATTAATTCATGGATGATAGATGAACTGATGACTGGATAAATTCAAAGAGTGAATTCCGGAATTATCTTCTGGATGTCTGGACTGATGAATGGATGAATTAACTGTTGAATCCATGGATGGATGAATGGGTACAATTTGCGAATAGATGAGTTGGAAATTCATGGACTGATTAGTGGATTCATGAGGGGAAGAGTGAACTTATGGAGGAATGAATGGACAGAAAAATGAAATCATGGATGGATGAATGGATGAATTCATGGACAGTTTGAAGTTTAGTTAATATTCAGTGAAATCAAAGCACTGAATTATTTTTTCAGACGTGTGGCTGAAATCTTTAGCTTTGATATGAGAACTAATGAAACTTTCTTCCTGTTCGTCTGAGGCAGACACCGCAGCTGCTGTTCCTTTTAGAAACCGAAACCATTTTTAAAATTTCCAATCAGACCTTTTGACTTCCCCTTCTCACTTCTATCGACGCGCTATGCAGAGTTCAGAGGCGATCATGCAGATGGTTATCTATGGACCTTCCTGCAAACAGCTGGAGGCTGAACTTTAGCCTCCCTGAGGCAAAAGTTAAAAACAGGAAACACAAAAAGTCAATGAAAGCAAACGAAAGATGCTTTCAGCCAACATGAAGAGGATGAGCAAGTAAAGAAGCTGCAGAACCAATGGCATGCATCCAGCTGCACACGCTGTACTTACGCAGCGGCCCATAGGAGGAGGATAAGAGGTGAACAGCGTATCTACCCTGAGAGAGGAGCCCCGGCAGTGAGAGGCGGCGTCGCAGACCCTCCGCCTCCTCCTCATGGATGTCCCCCGTGCTGGAGCTCTTCTTGGTCTGCACCGACTCCTCCCTGCGGACTCGCTCGGCAGAGCCGTCAGCCGCCCCGCCGAGCACCTCCAGCCGTGACGGCAGGTAGAAGTTCATCATCCTCTTCAGGGACAGGGCCTCGTAGGTGGAGGCCACCCGCTCGCCCACCGCCGAGGCGCAGGAAGCCACCAGGCTGTTGAGAGCGGAAGAGCTGCGTCCAGACGATGACGGCTGGCGGGAAAAGATGGAGTGAGAGCAAATTTAAGGATGAATTAAAAAAGGTCATACAGAGCGGAAATGTACTGAAGCGTTTTGCATTCACCAAAGAAAAAAAAATCTGACAGCTTATCTCAAAATTACGAGCTCAGTATCTCGTAATTACGAGATCTTTTCTCACAATTACAAGATAATATCTCCTAATTAGGAGATCTTATCTCCAAATTAGGAGATCTTTTCAGATAATTACGAGATAATATCTCGTAATTATGAGTTCCTGATCACAATATTATAAGATGTTATCTCATAATTATGAGATCTTTTCAGATAATTACGAGATAATATCTCATAATTACGAGATCTTTTCTCAGAATTACGAGATCTTTTCTCAAAATTACGAGATCTTTTCTCAAAATTAAGAGATCTTTTCTCATAATTAAGAGATAATCTCATAATTAAGAGATCTTTTCAGATAATTACGAGATAATATCTCGTAATTATGAGTTCCTGATCTCAATATTATGAGATGTTATCTCATAATTATGAGATCTTTTCTCATAATTACGAGATATCATCTCGTAATTATCTGAAAAGATCTCGTAATTATGAGATAATATCTCGTAATTATGCGATCCTGTACTCAATATTATGAGATCTTATCTCATAATTACGAGATAAGATGTCATAATTATGAGATAATATGTGATATCCCATTTAATGCAATACGCTTCCGCAGAAATGAGACGAGCCAAAATAAAAAAATAAATTATTTTAGTTCTAAACAACCTGTAATACCTAAAATCTTCTCAGCTGTAGCTCTTTTTCATTCATTTATTCGACGCTCTTGTTGAATACCAAAAGTTTTGTATTAAAAAAGTGATTGAATTTAAAAGTTGATTTAGATTTACTTACATCGTCACTTTATTTTTGTTGTATTTATTTATTTTTAGTAGTAAACCTGCCTGAACACTGTATATTTGTGTGTTTGTTTACCTTTAGTGTCTCATGATCAGTTTTGACACAAATCTTCAAAATAAATCCCTGAAAACAGCATCACCTGTTTTTGTTCCCTGTATGTTTCTGTTTAGCCTTATTAAACACTGACTGAATAAACAAAAACATATTTTCTTACATGTTATTAAACTTATTAAGCCTCCAACATACAGGGCTCCAACATACTGTCAGAATATTTACCACTTAGTTTCAATGAAGTGCATGCTAACTGCTAAATAGCTCTCTGCTTTTAGTGTAATCCAACAATAATGTATTAAATTACAAAAGCCTGCAAGAACTGCCATGCTAACTGCTAGCATGTCTTTTTTTTTTCCCCATGTTTTTTCCTCCACTTTTCTATCATCATATCTTCACCTTGTGAGCACAGAAGGGAAGTTGATGCCGCTCCTCTGTGCAGCAAGGCTACACAGGCGAAATTTAGGCGATAACTTCCCCTTCATCGGTAAAACCACTACGCAGCAATGAGGCAAAATCATGAGGTTGAATGTCCGCTTTATAGAATACCAGCAGTATTCTAATGTTACCTACTTTGTGAGATTTGATACCAGCTGTAAATTAAGTTTAAAAACAGTCACTGGGTTAAGTTAAAAGCTTAATAAGCTAAGTCAAAAAGTTAAAAAGCCATTTTAAACTTTAAGGGGTCATAGAATGCAAAACAGAGTTTACATTGTCATAGATGAATAATGATAGTTCAGTGGGTGAAATGGACGTATAGAGAAGTTCAAACCCCATCAACCTCCTTTCTCTGCAAATCTCACAATTTTAAACTTCCACCATAAAACCGGCGAATCCAAATGAAGCGCCGACTTGACATCAACTCGGGGATGTTGCCTTATTTGGTTCTGGCCTGTACTTTTGTCACGCCACGAAATGTACATACAGACCAGCCCACTGGTTCACTGGCCAAGAACATGAATAGAGGTAGATGTAAGACGTCAGTTTAGCTGTTTAGCCTACAGTTGGGTTTACTTCTACAAGAATTACAAAGCGGGCAGGTTCTTTATTGAAAATGAGCCAGAACCAGGGGTGTAAATGCAGTGTTCCAGGCTGCACGGAGAAAGAGGGAAATTTTCACAATCTTCCCAAGGATCCAAAGACTCGACAGGCATGGATTATATTTGTCTATCAGAAGATCCCTGCAAAGTTTGATGCTCAGCTGTTTATTTGCTCTAATGATTTTACTGAAGACAGCTTTCAAAATCTTGGACAAGATTTGCTAAACTTCTTTCACCGAAACGAGGGACTGTTCCGACACACAATCGCAAGCTGTAAGTAAGTTGTTACTAAGCTGTTTAGCATCGCTAAGCCGGACGATTTTGAAATTCCCCCCGGACATTTTTTAGGTATGAAAAATAGGACATATCTGGGGAAAAGAGGACGTCTTGGCCCAACCAATTTTACACACCCTATTCAGAGACCTTAAGAACCAGTACCTTATAGAATCATTCTATGACCCCTTTAAATTGTTTATTGACTTTAAAAGAATTGATAAATCAAGTTAAAAATATGTCTGTTTCTTAAAGAGTTTTTTCTTTTTTCAGGAATCTTATAGAGCACTTTTTATTTTAAAACCATATAAGAACAAATGACTGCTTTTGAAAATTGCATCAAACTCGATTTTTGCCATGAATATATATATTTTTTATGTTAAAAAGGTAATAAGGTCTTTTACTGTCCTTCTAGAAAAATCTTGACTCGAAATTTTAAAGTATTTCACTGCCTGACAAACTCCTTTAAAGCGAAAGTTATCAATTAATCAGCTGGAACAAATTTAATTCTGATGAACAATAAAGCTAATTTAAAGGATTTCAACGGTGGGAAAACATGAAACAGTTTTTGGTATATTTTTATATAAATGTAGCAAGGTTTTAGCCCCGCCCCATTCGATTACCAAAATCAGGAATTTTACCTAAGCTTATCTTTGAAAGCCTTATAGGTTTTTATGAGAGTGGCGGTGGCAGCATCATGATGTGGGAGTGCTTTCCTACAACATGGCTGTAATATGAGGGTGGGAACTCTGTCCATGAAGGTAAATAAATCAGAGCACAATAAGTAAAGTTCTAGATCTAAAATCTGTTTTCTCTGGATGCTCACCTGCATGGTGTGCAGACCTCCTGCCGCCATCTTGGTTTCCGCCTGCGACGTGTCCGACAGCTTCCTCAGATACTCCTTTACCTCCTGTTCGTCTGGATAAGGGGAGCTTTTAACGGCTTTAGGAGGAGCTGGGGGGTCCGAGTCAGAGGGCGGGGGCGCTCCGTTAGTGAGGTTTGCTTTCTGAGGGTCCTGAGGGTCCGGGGTGGGATCTGCTGGGGTTGAACTAGAGCTGCTGTGGGAGGGCAGGACGGGTTCAGATGGGGATGTTTTCAGCGTTTGGGTGGGAGCGGGCTCCTCTTTGGCCTCCACCCCCAGCGGGCAGTAGTGGCTGTCAGAGATGATGACGTGGTCCTCCTTGTCCGTCATGGTGTACAGCAGCTGGTTACACTGGTTGCATTTGTCCACAGGAGGGCGCTGGAGGCCCTCGAGCCCTGGGCAGCGCACCAGGGCCAGGCTGTGGGAGGCCCCGCAGGCCACCTGCAGCACGAACCTCCCAGCCAGCTGCTCCACCCTCTGAGGTTTCCACACGGGGAAGACGTCGGTGTTCAGGCCCAGCTGGCACCCGCTGCCCCACGCCCACACTTCCCTCTGCACCGACAGCGCCAGGCTGTGTTTCTCCCCGCAGGCCAGCTCCAGGACCGGCGCCGTCTGGGTGCCGCCTGGGTCCGACAAAGCCACCGGCGTGGGGTTGGGCACACAGCTGAGGCCCGACAGGCCGCACTGGCCCGCCCCGTTGTCCCCCCACATGTGGACGCTGCCGTCTTCTGTCACCGCCCCGCTGTGGAAGCTCCCCGCTGCCACGGAAACAACTCGCTGACCGCTAAGGGCGTTCTCAAGGGTTGGCTTCGTCGCCTGGGCGACCTGGGCCTGCTTCCATGGTAACTCTCCGAAACTATACACCTGTCCTCCTGGAAACAGAGAAAACCCAACAAAAACACATTGAATATGAAGAGAAACCTGCTTGAAACCCTTATTTTAAGAAAATCCCAGCAGGGTTTTATTATTAGAATACAAAACAGCAAATGAGAGTCAAGAATAGTTAGAGGGTATAAATATAGATCTATAGACATAGAATTAAAGGTTTTTTTGCTTTGCGTTACAGAATGATTCTAACAGTTTTCCCTTTTTCTCTTTACATAACGAGTGAAAAAAGTACATTTGAAATTAATAAAACATTAATTAAAAGGTATTGTGGAGGATTTTTGTGAATTTTTTTTGAACCCGCTCTCTCCATTTAAAAATACTAAATGCATAAGACCATTTCTCCTCATGCATGCTCTGCTTAAAAGTTGCTGTTCATACAAGCTCACCGTGTCCTAACGTTCACCCTAACCCCTAAATCTCTATATATAGAGGGGACTTTATAGTGAACTCATTTAACTGACTGTTCGAACAGATCATCACCACTTTTTGCTCCTCCTTCACTGCGCGGTGCCTGCGCCATCTTTGTTGTCAGGTATTAAACACTGACTGAATTAACAAAAACATATTTTCTTACATATTATTAAACTTATTAATCAGCAATACCAAAACAGGAATCTCCAACATACTGTCAGAATATTTAACACTTAGTTTCAATGAAGGTCACGCTAACTGCTAACTAGCTCTATGTTTTAAATGTAATCCAACAATCTGGATGAGACTTTGAGCTGTTAGCAGCGTTTTTAAACAGATTGTTCAAGCTGCTCTCTTGAAACGTATTAAATTACAAAACCTGCCATGCTAACTGCCAGAAAGTCTTTTTTTTTCGCTTTTCCATCATCATATCTTCACCTTGTGAGCACAGAAGGGAAGTTGATGACTCTCCTCTGTGCAGCAAAAGCTACACGGGCCCAATTTAATTGATAACTTTAGTGACAGACTATGGTGTCAGAAAGGCCTCAGAAGAAGCAGATATATCCCGGAACGATTTGCAAGGAGAGCTCTTCTCGCAAAGCATTCTGGGATACATCTGCCACTTCTGAGGCCTTTTCTTTTCTTCTCATAGACACTTTTTCCTCTTACGACCCTCAGCCATTTTCAAAGAACCATGGTGAAAAAGGTGAGCTTCAATGACTGTCTGAAACCGTAGTTCACCACAGATATAAGGCACGTACGACGGCCTTATTTAAAGATGTAACCAGGGGGCATTCAGGTGGCGCAGTGGTTAGTGTGCACGACCCATGTATAGAGGCTTTAGTCCTCTGGCTCTTTGGTTCTTTTGCTTTATCAACATATTTTAACTGATAAACTACTGTAGAGCCCTCAATGGGTTTGGTTAATGGTTTCACAGTTTGAATCTAACAGGGTCTCACCTTCCACCAACAGCACTCCATGCTGGGCCCCAAGGGCCACCTGGAGCACCGGCCGTTGGAGGAGGAGCCTCTCTGGGACCAAGCTGCAGGAGTAGCCCCTCCAGGAGTGGAGGAGACCCCGCTCTCCTCCATCATCATCTTCAGAGCTGAAACGGAGGAAAACATCAAGAAAAGAAAGAAACTGAAAAATAAAAATGTGTGGGCTAATTAGGCAGCAGCTGTCACCATGTGCTGCTTTAACACCAAACAACTGTTGTTTTGTAGCTGGAAGCAGAAGTGAGCAGTGAGGCGGTGTCACATGGAGATCACATCCATGGAGGGGGGGGAAACCTACCTCTTCCCCTGAGGCTCCATCAGGGCTTTAATCCTCCATCATTGCACAGTCACCTGTCACCTCTGACCTGCAGTCCATCAATCAGCTCACATTTACAGGCTGAAACCTGATAGGAAGAAAAACAGAAACCAACTACTTCAAAAAGAAAAACGAAACCACCTTACGTTCATAACCTACGATAAACAACAACAACACAAATAATCTAATATCTTATTTACAGCAGCAATCGTTAATTAAAATCAGAACAGCCTCTGGCAGGTGTTTGCTAATCTTTAGTAGCTAATGTGGAAACTAGCTTAGAAACTAAGGCAAACCTTTACAGTAACCAGGATGAATTAACCTCCTCTTCCTCACCAGCCGGTTCTTCTGGCCGTTTCTCTCGCTGTCAGCTTCACCCAGAAGGTAACTCCTCCGTTAATGCAGCTGTTAGCAGAGAAAAGCCGCTGCTAGCAGCTCTTCTGTTGACACTAGCGGCTAGCTGCAGAGATAGTCTATAAACAGGAGGAGTTACTCGGCGATCAATTTGAGAGACTAGCGGCTAGCTGCAGAGATAATCTATAACCGAGAGGAGTTACTCGGCGATCAATTTTAGAGACGACAAAAACGTCTTAATGTGAGGGGTATGGGATTTTGTTTTTTGTATCCAGCTTTTTGACAGGTATAATCCTATGAGCCAGGGAGCGGTGAAAAATATTTTAAATATTATTTTTATGCTGGCATATGATTTTTAGATTATTTGATTTCTTATAACCCAACAAAAAAAAAAAAAAAAAACGTTTCAGGAGTTTTTTTTTATTTTGCACTGCTTTACAAAAAAAGTTGCAATAGTAATAAAGACAAAAAGATCAAAATACAAGTTTACTATGGAAGCCTGTTTCTGACACATGAAAGTAAAAAAAAAGAAAAAAGAAAGTCAAATAGATAGTCATAATTATGACTTTGTATTTGGCATTTTTTACTTTCATGTGGCAGAAATGGGCTTCCATAGTTTACCTAACTCTACATCACTGGAAAAAATATATATACACAAATATGTTTATATATAAAATGAACAATCTTTATACAATCTCTGCATAAATAATTTTTGTTTTTTAAGAATATTTTATGTACCTGGCCTTTATATTTAACTTTTAAAACACTGAAAAAACTATTTGACATCCAGTCTTATCTTCATTTGAAGAATTATTCATACACATTATTTCAACCAGTATATAAAATGTTGTTTGTTTCTGTTCCCAGGACATTTGAAATAAGCTCCCTTAAAATCTTCTTTCTTAAATATTAACAAATTTTTTTATCTTTTTCTGTCTTTCTCCTGAAATGAATAACATATAAACCCTGTAATCTAACGATAGAAGAAAGTAGAATAATGGAGTTATTTGGGATATTTTAGCTTGAAGGGTACATATTTATTAAAAAAAAGGGAAAATTGAAGGCTAATGAGTTTAAAATGATGGATTAAATCTAAATTTTGCAGTATTTATTGTGCACTTAACTGCTAATCCAATGCCTTATTGTTGTACTTTCCAAATATCATAAAGTTTTTTTTTACCACAATAAATCAGGGTGAGAGGTCTTATCTTTTCTCCTGCTCTGTTTGAACTGGTTCAGAATAGGAGCCTTAAAAGGCCCTAATGTGTTTGAAGTTGCAACACTACAGAACCTGAAATGGGGGCATGTGTCATTGGGTCATTGCTGGTGGTACGTTTGCGTAATGTTTCATTCCACAAAGTGTTGTGGTCAAATAGGTGTGATGGTAATAAATCTAATGGGACACAGCTTTAATCTCTCCCCCGTTGTTACCAAGTCACCTGCAATCCTTTAGCCTCATTCGTAAAATGAGGATTAAATCAGAAACAGTCAATTTTTATCAGCAGACAGATGAGGATTGAGAGCCTTAACCAAAAAAAAAGTTTTATCATCTTAGATTAATTTGTGTGGAAAAAGGGGGGGAACTTATGAGGGACATAACATTTCTGACATTATGGATAAAAGCTAGCTGTAGGAATCAGTTACCTACCTTGATGTCTGCTTATTTCATAGTGAGTGTGCTCAAATAAAATAAATATTCACTTTCAAGACGATAACATCGCAAAAAAAGTTGTTTATTTTAACAACATGACAAAACAATGTTCAAATATTCAAAGTAAATTGTGTATGTTAACAGAGACAAAATAAAACAAAATCTCAGTGAGGACTAAAACATGTACATAGCACAACTTTAGCACACATGGCAGCGGGTTCAGACATGTAGAGCTGCGTACATTATCTAGGTAGAAGCACAGTGACGCCTCCCTCTGTGTTTAATTCAGAACATCGTTTGCTCTGCTCTAATCTGCCCTCATTTAAATCGCCTTATTAGGTCTTTTTAAATAATCTATTGTTAAAGTTCAGCAAAATGCTGATTCATTTTTTAACACTGAGGTGCAAAACATGAACTTATCCGGTCCATCCACTAATAAAAACAAAAGGTACTCCTTGGGCACTTCAGACAACATTTTAAAGGCACTGCTTCTTATGCTACATGATAAGTGCACTAATTTTTAGCTAAAGCTGGATTTTACATGATTCCTCCCTCAAATCTGGCAGGTAAATATCGATTATCAGTGCTTGAAAAACTTGAGGCAGTGAGGTAAAACAGTGTTGAGCGTATTATGGACATAACATATGCGACATTCTGTATGCGTACCTGAAAACAAACCTTTTAGAAGATTTGCCTGTATATTTTTTTAATATGGTTCTACTTTGCAAATTAAATTTCCTTCAACAAAATGTCATCTAAAACATCTGGTATCAGTCCAGGATGAGTCATGACTGTAAATATGTCTAATCTGAATCATACAAAGAGGTCCAGTGATGCTGTTGATGACCTGACATGGCGCCGGTGCTTCCATCAGGTTTCCACCTTCCCGTAGGTGCCATCGGGCGGCCGGTAGTGTTTGGGGAAGGCCCTGAGCTGGAGCGAGTTGAAGGCGTATTTTCTGGTGCCGACATTCTTCACCGTGTTTTCTCGCCTGCAGCCCTCGCTGTGAAGAGGAGAGGGGAGGGACAGCCGGATTAGGGGGGGTTATATAATGGAAATAATAAACTAAACCACAGGGAAGTATGAGAAATATTCTCATGGACAAAAATGGAGTATATAACTTTAAAAAAACATAAAATTAATGGAAATATAAATAGGAATTTATTTATGTAAAAATGGGCTGATAGGAATGGATATTATCCTACTTTGGTTTTAGTTCACTGCATCATTATAAGCAAATATGTTAAAAAATGTCTGACATCATCCAATGTTGGTGTTAATGCTGTTATTTATAGCATCTCTACAAACCATTTGAACTGCATCCATTAAAAAAACTACTAAATATAGTAAATAAATCGGATTACTTTGTGAATCTTTAACTTCTCAAATTACTAAGCAACCATATGGAGTTAATTTGGGGCCGCGTAATATAGATAAAAAATAAAATCCCAGATTTCAAATCAAATCAATTACATTTTTGGAGCCTTTAGTTTTATGAAAACAAATAGATGACAGAAGTTAATTTTATAAGCTATTTATTTCGATCATATCCTATTTTAGTTTACCTGATTTCAAATTGGAACGAAACACAGGCTGTAAAATTTTCTTTTTAAATAAGTTGGAATGCACTGCCATAAAGCAAAAATTGTTTGTAGCTTATGCTGTTACCCAAAAATGATACATCTTAAACAGGGGTGTGCATACATAGACACTAGGTGGTGCTAAAGTACTAGGAAGTTTGCCCTTTTTCAAAGAAAATGCCCTTTTGAAACTCGTTTTTTTTTAAATTATTATTATTAATATATTAAGATTTTACTGAGGTCGGTCTTGAAATGATCTTTTGAAAACCTGAGCCATTAAAAACGACTGAAACAATGCCCCAATATGAGCCAGCAGCCGACCAGCCTACTGTATCCAGATGCGCAGCATCATAGCAGTTCAGTAAGCCCCTTCAGATAGCAGGAACGGTCGCTGACAGGCTGCTTCTCCCGTGCCCCATTAGCCAGGTAATATACAGATCAAGCAAAATCATTTTGTTGTGCATTAAAATGTCTCATTCAGCAGCACCAAACAAGCATTTTTGCGACTGGTCACCTGATAAACTAGTTGTCTCCTTGTAAGATGCTATTTTACTTTTTATATTTTATAACCATATTTTTATCTTAAGTGTATATATTAGTCTATTTTATTGCATGCTGTATACCCACAGTTTTTAGATATTTTCATAATTTTTTTACCTATTCCATATATGTTTCATGTTGCACTATTGTACCATAAAAAATTCCTAGTTTGTGAACTCCTTCACTAACAATGGCAATAAACCCGATTCTGAAAGTTTTACACTGTAGCCCAAGCCAATGACAGATAACGTGAGGACGACCACATAGGCTACAAATAATTTCGGTAGAGTTTGCAATTGCAAATCTACAGAAGAGGATTAGGGCTAAAAAGGGCTTTTTGCTCAGTATTCTGACTTTTTAATCCTAACCCTTTAAATAAAATTTAAAAATCAGTCAACTTTTTTTTTTTCCAGTGGCCCTAATCCTTCCATACAAATCTATGTGTTAAGACAAACGTTTTCTGTTGTATAGGTTTTGTTAGGCAATATAAATTAACACATTTTGGTCTCTTTATTGTCTTAATTGTATATTGATTTAGTAATTGCAGCACAATGCCAAGAAAGGAGGGTTAATCGTATTGAAAAATCTTAAAAGCTGTTCACATTTTATTTTTAAGTGGTTTGTACAAAATCAGCAGGTATTAAAATAGCTATTATATTGTAGGCTACCATAAGTCATATCCACGTGACAAGACTTCCAGTTATGTTGCCCTAATAGCCCATTATTTAAACTAATGTGGCATATTTGTTAAAGCTATTATTATTATTATTATTATCATTATTATTGTCATGATGGTTATTATTATTATATTGTAGCCAGTCACAGCAGGGAAGCTCTATACTATCAACATCTACCAGGACAGGAGATGAGGAAGAGTTCAGGGAGACACAGAGACAGAAAAAGACCAGGATGAGGGAGAACAGGGAGATGAGCCAGATGAAAGAAGTACGCTTTAGTCTGTTCTGTTGGTGATGTGACTTTTTTCCATTGCAAACTCACGTTTAGAGAATGTTACAAATTAAAGTCAAATTTCATTCAACATGCGTGTGTATTTTTTTTTTATAATTAAGTGTTCCACGTGCGCTAAAAAATGCCCTCCCCCCCTCCTGAGCACCTGCCCCCCAAAATGTCTGTGCACGCCTCTGATCATAAAACAAAGTGTGATCAGATAATCTCATTGTGAACTATAGAAGAGCAAAAGTACATCAGCAAAAAAAAGGCGTAATTTTCAAAAATATTTAGTCTTTACAGACCAAATTATTATTTTTTTGATTAAAAAGATTTATTGCCCAGCCCTTATTGCAGAAAATCAAAAAATGATAATAACTAGTGTAATAATTTAGCAAGTAAGCTTGTTACAAAC